TATTAATATTTTATAGATAATCAGATAAAAATAATATTAAAAAATAAGATATTCAAAAATTCTAAAAGTAAATTAATCAGAATTAAAAGAAAATCTAAAACAAGGAACAGAATAAAAAAATTTTTTATTAATATTTTATAACAGTTACTTTTTCTTAATAATTTTTCTTTTTCTTGAAAAGAATTTTTTTTGTTGTTGCTTATTTTGATTGTTAAAAAGTGTCAGAAAATATATGTGCTATACTGTAATTTCAGTCATTGTATAATATTTTTCCACAAAATAATTTTTTTTACCAAAATAGTTAATAATTATAGAATTTCATTTGCACATAGAATTCACTTCCACATAAAATTATACAATTTGACTTTCACATAATTTAATTTCTACATTGAATGAAAGAAAAGTTGTTGTATTTTAGTACATTTAAGACCAAACAAAATATATCTGTCACTGAAATCGCTAACAGTTATCATTAAACTTTTTTTTTAAAACTTGAATAATAAATTAACATAAATTTCTAAAGAAAGCTCTTGCGTTGTAGAGGATATAAACAAAATAATTAAAGCAGAAAAAACTGAATAATTTTATTATTAAAATTAAAAAAGAACCAATGTAAATAACAGGTAAAAGAGCACATAAGTAAATACTCACTGGCTCGGATACTATAGAAGACAGTATGTTAGAAAGAAGTTGAACAGTGCCTGGAGTTATATGCAAAATAAGGTCTCTAAACATGACATCCATGTGTTGAGAATGTTCACGGAAATTGCACTGAATATCAATATCACAGGGGCTAAGAATCTAAAAAATTATGGTAAAATTTAGTATAAGATATAGCAAAGCATAGATTTATATTTTAAAAAATTCTGAGAACAATATTATTTTCTTAAATTCTATTAAGGAAGAGATTTTAAATATTCATGTACTAGTTATAAATTGAAACAATTGTCTCCAAATAAGCAAAAAAAAAAACATGGCAAATAAATGTTAAAATAAATATAAAGTTAGTACAAAAGTAATAAATTTTTTGAGAAAAATGTTAGGTAAACTTCAAATAGAATTTTTTTTTTTAACAAAAATAAACATGCAGTGAAACATTTTTACCTTTGCTGAAGTTTCAAGTCGCTTCTCTGAATTAAAACATGCTGTATAAAATGTCAAATTTGTGATAGATCCAGATATGGCTTGAGATGAACCAACCATTGTAACTTTCAAATCAATTTCATTCTTAAATTTAAAATAAATAAATATTCAGTATACAATATAGAACACATACTAAGTTAAAACTTTAAATATTTTGAAAAATCTTACATAGATCAAGTTTTTAAATTTGATTGAAATATAATTTGAAGGAAACAGAAATAAGGCATAATTTATGATTATATTTAGTATTTTACGCATCTTTTTTTTTCTTTAAGAAAAAAAAAACTGAGAGTAAAAACTTCAAATAAATATTTTTTTAAACTAGTCCTACAAATTAATTATATTTTATAACCAAAACTAACCACGTGAATCCAATTATTTTCCAGCGAACTGTAATATATGCTCACATTTCATATCTAGGATATTCTTTAGTTTATAAAAAATAAGAAGAAAACTTAACTTCACACAAAAAAAAATCAGATCTGTTTTAAAATACTTAAGTGTTATTGCTGCTATGTTCAATGACTAGCCAAGCTAGACCAACTTCAAGATGTCCTACGCTCTCATGAAGTTAATAGCCATCAGATGGTGCACCAAAAGATTATATTTTGTGAGGTTTAGGCAATCAAGAATATTTTCTGAGAAATCGCAGAAGACAGAGCACTCAGCACACATCGGAATTGTTTTTTCTTTTATAATAGTAAATCAAAGTTCTAAATTGTCCACTACAGAAACAAGTAATAGTCAATTAGAAAAATGCTGGCTGGCTGTCATAGATGGAGAAGAAAGTGTAGCTTTGGTGATCAATAAAGACCAGAGCTCCAAAGGGTCGAAAGCTGACTCAGCTCTCAATGCCTGCAGAACTTAGCTGGAAATAAGAGATTGGTCTTCATGTCTTAGACCTACCAAGACAAGAATCGTTCATTCCACCCACGAACACCCCCTTGCCGCTTAAGTGTTAAATTACTTATGTACTTTTTTCTGAAAAAAATATGTGTAAAGAATTTATATTTATGAATTAAAGCTAAAGGATTTAATACACAGGCAGAAGTTTAGTAACCAGTGCACTTAAGAAGCTTAAATATTCAAATCAATATTAAATAATTAATATTTAAAATTCTTACATTAAGAAATATTGCACTTGAATCATTATCTTCAATGTTTTCTATGAGAACTATATCAGGTTTTTGCACTTTTAAAAATATCACAGTTGCACCACTAGCTTCACTAAGACTATGCTCTGATACAGAATGTGAAGGTGTTAAAGATGCTTGCTGCTTAGAGTGTATTTCTAAAATTGTACAAAAAAATTAAATAAATAAATAGAAAATATTTCAAATAAAATTTATCTGACAATTTATACTAAAGAATTTTTTTTTATCTATGACTTTTAACTAACATTATTTTAAGAATGAAACAGATAACACTTTATTTAAAATAATGAACAAACTTTAACTGGAAACAAAACAATTAACACTAAATTACGACTAACACAATGTTAAATGTAATTTAAAGTAAACAAACTTTGAATTACATTTAACATTGTTTAAATAACATTTTGTTAATATATTTTTAATACTTAGAATAGAATAGAAACAGATATCTCCTACGTTTTAGAATTAATTTTTTCTATATTTTAAAGACAACAGTTTGATTTTTATTATCTAAACAATCAATATTTCAAGGGAACAAACCATAAAGATTACAAAATAAGGCAATTACCATAAGGCAATTTAAAATAGCTCCCAGATCATTCTAACACACTGCTGATAAAAATATTCATTGTTTTAACTCATTGTTTTGTTACTTAATAAATTCATAAATAAGAACTTGATATGTTTTTAAGTCTGCCACCAATTATTTAAGTACTACATAGGATTTTTACTATATACAAGAATAAATTAACAAGCCATGTATATAAATTTTGCAGCACTTAAACAATGATTAAAAAATACAGTGAAATAGGAAGCAAAGACAAAATTTTTATGAGATTTGAATAGCATTAAAAGCTATAGGAATCAGCAAACAATAAAAATAACTATAAAAAAAATTTGTTCTTCATTTTATAAAAAAAAAAAAGATGTTATTAACTTTATCAGTTTTGACTCTTATCAAACTTAAACAACATTTTTTCTCAATCAAATATGCTAGTAATGTTGCAAACTGTTCAGCCTCCAGAAAAAGTATTGCTTATTTTATTTTATTCATGAAACATAGGTTATGTGAATGCTAAAGATCGAGTAAATCTCTTAAACAAAGACTCTATTAAAAAAAAATTCATAACATTTTCGACTCAGTTTAAGATAACAAGTTAATAAAATGAACTACATCAAAGTTGACTATTTTTATGTAGAATAAAACATTCAACTCCTCTTATAACGTATTACTGATTCAATTCTTTAAAATGAAATCAGATTAGTCACATAGAAAAAGATAACAATAAATATGTCAATTAACTGTAACAATTACTAATTAAAATAAACAAATTACCTGGATTTGCAGGGTTACTTGAAGTAGATGATTTTGGTGATCCAGTGAAAAACTCTGACAACATCATTATGTAGTCAAGACAGAAGACAAGAGAAAAACTAGAAACTGTCGTTTGTACTAAAATAAATTAAAAGAAATGAAGATTATACTTTTATTTCATGATATGAAGCTAAAGTAAACTAAAATAATATTGAAAACTAGACTACTTTAAATAAAAAAAAATTAGCTTTGACATGAAATATATTAAATCCAAAATTTCATTTAAAATTTAAATAATCAAAGTTACAAAATCAGACACAAAAACATACTTTATCTGAATAAATGTACTTTTTCTTGCTCCTCAAAATATGAGGAGTAACCACAATTTGGAAAATATAGTCTTCAGTTTAGGCAAGAAAGCAATTGAAAGTTTGTGCCTCTTAATATTACTTCCATGTTTTGCATATTTTACAATTTTAAAGAAATCATATTTGTAAATTTTTATTTCTCAACGAAAATTGTACATTAACTTATACAGCTTTAAGTAAAAAGGCTGTGGTTTATGGCTCACAAATAGATAAATATTTTTTTAAAAATATAATCCTTTTCTCCTTTGGCTTATTCAAGGATAAATTTATATTATTTTAACAACTTTAATTGTAGTTTATTAAAAAATTTTTATTATGTATTCTTTTTATTTCCTTTATATGTTACAACTTTTTTTTATTTATTATTGAAGAACTAGATTACTTCAATAACTACAGATTATATTTCCATTTACCACAAAAAATAGTTTAAATAACATTTGTCACACACTAAAAGTAAGTTCATAAAATTACAACAAAAAATTGAAATGTTCAAAAAATTGATAACGGATTACAATTTAAAATCATTTAATCGGCTACTTTTTCAATTAAATTTATAAAAATTAAGGTAAAGATTAAACATAAAAAATAATTGACTTTAAATTGTACTATAATCTATATTTGCAAAACAAAATATTAAATAAATTATTCGACACATTGCATAACTATCTAGATTTACACTTAATATTAATGTACCAAATAATTCTGAATATTAATGTTCTAAATTCCATGGCAATTTATTGATATAAATTATGGGTAAATACAATATTATTGATTTAAAAAAATTATATCCAATAAAAATAAAATGTACCTCTTTTTTCACCAGTAGGTGTTTGGCTGAACTCAACATCTATCATACTATTTGATTCCTGTGTTGTCGATCTTTTCATTAATCTGTAACAAAAACAAAAAAAAAGATTTTAAAAAAACTGCTACATAATATCAAACTGATATAGTAAATTTATGGGTTCATTTACAGTAGTAAATTAAAAAAACATAATTTAAAAATATTTCCAGCAACAACAAGTGGTATTGTTGCAATTAACAAATGGTAACTGTTCCATAGAGAAAATTTAAGAGGTAAACTGGTGAAGAAATTAGATGCATCAGATTATCAACTATACACACTGAAAACTTTCTGGCTTAAAAAAAATTTCATTCTAGTTTAGTTTTCCCTTTCTATAATACTGAACTGTTTAAGAAATTTCAGTTCAAAATTTTTCTTCGTTTAAAAGTTATCTCAAATAGCCAATTTTCATTTTGAAACATGAAAAAGTTAACCATAAGACTTTAAAAATGAAACTCTTAGTGACAAGAATCCTTGAATATTTTGGAAAAAGTCTTCAATATGAAGTCTTTGCAATATGCAGTCTTGATTACTCATTACTCAATCTTGATTACACTGTGTCAAGAAAAAGGTAGATAGAATGGGTGATCGAAGCAATATAATAAGAAATTTCAGTTCAAAATTTGTCTTCGTTAAAAAGTTATCTCAAATAGCTAATTTTCATTTTGAAACATGGAAAAGTTAACCATAAGACTTTAAAAATGAAACTCTTAGTGACAAGAATCCTTGAATATTTTGGAAAAAGTCTCAATATGAAGTCTTTGCAATATGTAGTCTTGATTACTCATTACTCAATCTTGATTACTCTGTGTCAAGAAAAAGGTAGATAGAATGGATGATCGAATAAGAAAGCAAGAATTGTAGGAGTTTTGCCCAATCTACTACCTCGAAAAAACATTCTCTGCTTAAGAAACTCGTTCCTTCTTTCCTATAAAAAATTTCTTAAACGAGTTTATTGTATATAACATTTAAGATAAAATCAAAACAGAACAAAATACTAAAGACAACAAAAAACTTTTAATTTTTACTACAAACAAGAAATTGTATGAATTCATAATTAGAAAATTCATATTTTTACATAGAATTTAAAAACATAAAAGAAAAACTAACCGAGTAATGCCTTCTTTTCGAATTTCTCTAGTATCATCCAAAGTAACATCTTTAAGGTACACTTTTGCTATCATTGAAGAATCGGTCATCATTTCAGCATGAGCTTCAAGTATTTTAACTTCCACTTCAGCCATTGAGCAAGAATTATGTCTTTCGCATACACCTTTGACCTTTAATTAATTTAAAATCCTTAAACTATGGACAAAATGCTTACAAATTATGTGGCAATAAAATTATTAAAAAGCAGATTTACTTCCTGTGCAGTTGAATAGAAAATAATATAACGTTTATATTTTCTTTTCCATTACAAGGGTAACAGATTTTAAAATATATATCTTAGGTCTATTCTTTAAGTAAGGTACCCTTTTTAAACAAAAAGTAAGAAATAGGATTTGTAAAGCATTAGTTTGATTGAAAAGCTTGCTAGAAGAATGAAATAAATCCAAATTTTTTTCTTTTATTTAATTTTAATGTATTTTTGTCTGCAGCCTTGAATATTGCAAGAACTGGGTAAAAATATAAAATCAGTCCCTACCTATGTAGTAAAAAAAAATGTGCAAACCTTATCAATTTTTTAAAAATTTCTTTTAGTTTTCATTCACAATTTGTGAATCTGGACTTACCTTGCTCCTGCAACAAGCCTTTTAATTTAACAAAAATAACAAACTATATATATCAAAATCAAAAATACAGTGTATCAAATGTAAATTTATTATTTTTTTTTAAAAAATAAAGCAAATATTTACCAATTCAGTTTCACCATGACAAAGCATGATTGTGACACTATCCAAAACAAAATCGAATTTCATTCGAGGATGGATTTTTCCAATGACTACTGCAGTGGTTATCTCAGCTTTTGTTGATGGTTGTGAAGCTACAAATAGTTAATTAAACTTCAAAACTAATAAAGGATAAAGGTGAATTAAACATTTAAAAACAGCATCAATGTTATACTTAATAGCCAAGCTATAGCTTGATTTCACTAAGTTAACTTTGCAAACAATAACTTTATTTTAAATATCTTTGTTTAAAAACTCAGATGTTTGTAAAATCTGAGGAAACCAAGAAAAAATTAGCGTACATTATTAAATATTGAAACGTTTATTACAAATCATTATAATTTAAAAACAAAAAAAAATAGTTGAAAGAAATTTGCAGAATTTTTAAAAGAATAAAAGAAAGAATCGAATAGAGAATTAAAGTACTACTTTTTATAATCCACAGGATTTCACTTTACTAGTAAAAATATCAAAAGAATGTGAATGTAAAATGACTCCTTAATTTAAACAAACTAAGAAATCAAAGTTATTAAATTAAACAAAAAAATTCAACACGTTTAAAACAAGTTAAAAACTTATATCATAATTAAAAGTTTAGAGGGTTAACAAATTATATTACTAGAAATTAATGAATTCGTTTACAGTCAAATTAGTAAGAAACTAGAAATTTCCAAGTAAAATAAATTAATTTGCATTCAAGAAAACAATAATTTAAAAACAAGGCTGAAAATATGAAAGGAGAAATAAAATTATGAAATGAAAGTTGTGGATTTAAAAATAAAAAAAAAGCGACCTACATTTTTATAAGAACCTATAGCTGTTGATTCTAAATATCAGCAACACAATTTCATTATATAGATTGTATTTAAAATTTTAAAAATAAGATATGAAATACTTCCTAAATAATTACAAGCACTTTAGAAATTTTTTTTTTAAAAATTGATAAAAGAAATAGTAAATATTTATATTGTGTGGTGTAAATGTTATCAAAATATTTAAATATTATAGTCTTATAAAAGCATTTTTAATTTATGGAAACAAAATGTTCTTGAATATTGTGAATGAATAATTGTGAGATTGAAAAAATTATTGAAATATTAATTTAAAATTGATTGCTAGTTTTTAATTTTAACTACTAATATACATCAACACACTCATTCCTAAGCCTAGAATAAAATAGTATACCTATAATAATTATTATAACCATTAACAATATTTTTCTTACCAGTAGATGTTGTTGGTGTTTTAGAAGATGATGTTTGAGTTACTGTAGTTGAAGTAATGGGTGTTTCAACAACTTCACATGTTTCAGCCAAATTCTCTCCAAGAACATTCATAACAGTATTGTAATCCTCTTGACTCAATGTGACCTGTTTACAAAATTCACCATTTGAGTAATCTTTAATTACAGAATTAAATAACTTAACACAATGATGGCAGGCTTTAAAGACCTCCATATTACTGCAACCAACAATGCATCAAAAAGCATCTAACAGAACAAAACTACTTGAATGAAGAGAAGGAAGTAAAAGCCTAAATTTTATATAATCATTGGAAGTAATCAAAGTCCTTATATTCAATGTGGTTAGAAAGTTTTGATAAGCAGCTTCAGAATTGTTTTAAAGAGAAAGTTACCAGAGTCAATTACCATTAGGCGTAGTTTCTCTAAAACTTTGTTTTTGTACATTTTTGAGTGTGATTTTGTAACTTAAAATACTGTCTGCACTAATTAATTACCCTTAACTATTATTACCGATTAAATTATTAAAATTCAGTCCTTGTTATTAAAGATCCAATCACTAGATCAAAAATTACTCAGGGTGTTTTGTATTTTATTTGTGCAATGTACCAATAATTTTGATATTCCATCCAATAAAAATATCCAATTAATGACCCCACATGTAAAGTTTATCTGGAAATTTTGTCTTATCTTTTCTCAGTAAATTTTGGCTCTCAGCCAATTACGAATGCTACACACTATCTGCATTAGAAACAAGTGATTCTAGAGTTAACTCATGGCTGACTATTTCAGTAAACTTAACATTCTTAGCATTACAAAAATATCTCTTGGAGGAAAGGGCAATGGGGATTCCTTCTAGGTCATGAATGTATTAAAACAGAGGAATATTTCACATTAAGTTATGCATTTGATAATTCATACAAAACAAAATTTTAGAATAAGAAAACTTAACTTACAATGAATAAGCTATGCATTATTGGTACGATAATTATTAATAAAATCTAATATTTTCAAAATCTCTGAAATACTAACATCAGTATAGTATATTTGTTTCAAAATAACTAAGAAATTAAAAGGACTTTATTTTAAAGCCTGTGAATATGACTTTCATGAAAAGTTTATTAAAATTATAGCAAAATATTTATAGTAAATCTATCGTTTTCAGAACTATTCATAGCTAAATAGAGAGGAAAAAGGAATGATACCTTCACAGCTGCAAGTTGTCCTGTTATGTGAATTTCTGGGTGATCAACATACCAAGTAAATGAATGATTTCTTGTAATATCTAAATTGAAACTAATTGGATCTAAAATAAGACACTCAGCTATAACCTCTGCATTACTAGGTTGAACAAGAGCTCTGAAATCAAAAATGCATAATTTAAACAGTGAAATAAAATTTTCATTAATTTTATTTTTAGAAATAAATTTATAAAAACAAAATAAATCGACAAGTTTAAATATATTTGCACACAATGTCTTTGAGTTCAAAGAGTAAATTTAATAAAGCTTTTATAGTAATTAACAGCATTATCATTTTAAAACAAATACTTGTAATTCAATTCAGAAAAAATGCAAATAATTTGTTGACTATAGATAGTTTGTAATATTATGTAAATTTGAAACTGATTTCATTTTGATTTTATTGTTAATGTCACACAACAGCATCAGGAATGAACTTTCAGCAACAGTCTCTGATACATTCGTGGTGATGACTTAGTTACAAGATCGGCTCCTGTGCGCACTATACTAGCAAAATAATAATTTTAGACTAGAATCACTCAATCTCTGTACTGAACTTTTCGACCGCGTATATACATAGAAATGTTTTTTACTATGAAGTGTAAAATATTACTACAGTCATATAATTTGTAAGCAGTGTTTAAATATTCAAATTATTAATTTGATATTTCAAAACCACAATTTTTTTCTATATACCATATCAGAAACATCCTTACTGCTAAATTTTTTTAATATTTTTAATTTTAATAAAAAATAATTATATGATTTTAAAACACAAATAGCAATAGATTTTTAATTTTAGCTTAATGCTAACTTATACCATTAAATAAAATTGGAAATTGGTACAAAATACAATGATAATAGTTGAATAATATAAAATTGACATTAATGACTTAAGTCATTTCCTCACATTTAACACAAAAATGATAATGCTTAACGTTTTTTAAAACAGCAAAACGGATATTTTTATTTAAAAAAAATACTGTAACAAAAATATTAAAAGTAACTTAAAAAAACACTGAGTTAAAATTATCACACGATTGCGACAAATACTCAGAAAAAAAATTTCCTGACTTTTCTTGCTTTTTTCCAGATTGATTTTATAGAATTTCACAGATTTTTATAATCAAAAGCCTCAATTTATTTTTTAATTATACATTATCCATATACATAAAATATATTCCAAAATACTTACACCTGCCATTAAGGTTAAAAATAAAAAATTTTGCAAAAATTATTGCATCTTCAATTTTTTTTAAATATCTGACTTTTAAGTATTTTAATATCAAATTAATTAGCCTCCCTAGACTATTCTTGGTATTTTTATTAAATTCCTAGATTTTAACAGTTTGAAAAAATTTCCTGTCTTGTAGACCCCTTGCATCAGTTTTTATGACCTAATTTTAAAATTTTTAAACATAAGGGGTAACTATGAATACAAAATAACATTGTTAAACTTAATTAAAATAAATTTAAAAAATACCTCAAATATATGAAAAATAAATAAAACTGGCAAGGTACAAAAAAAAAAGTTTTTAAAATTTTGAATATCTTTTCTTTTTACCTGAACAATTGAAGGTCGGTCAAATGAAGGGACATTTCCTCAAATATCACTGGCATTCCTAACTCATTTCTTTTTTCGCCTAGTAAAAATTTGTTCAAAATTTTTAAAACTCCAAGGTCTGCAACTATTGCATTTGAAGATTTTGAATTTTGTGGAGTTATTATAACAGGGGCTTCAATAATTATATTCAGCAAAATTCTAGTTGATTTCTCATAAACTTCTTCCATACTCTGTTTTGCTACTTCAGCAGCTGCCACACTAGCTTCTGCCACTCTATCCTTTGCTACTTGGAAATGATCAAGAAAGTACTGTAAATAAAAAATGCATTTATTTATTTTGATAATAGACCACAATGAACAGTTTTTATTAAGAAATTAATAAAAAACTAACCAAAAAATATGAATAGTGACTAGTTATATAGCATTATTCATACAGACAATTAGATAATAAAATATGATTCTGTAATTAAAGCTCCATCAATGTATTGCAAAAACAAGGCACCTAGAATTTTTTCAAACCTTTTAATAACTATAAGAATGCCAAGTAATCTCTAAATCAGTCAAATGACATGGACAGAACCTTAACAATAGCCTTTTCCACAAACTTTCATACATCAACAATTGAGAAAGCTTTCAATCACGACAAATGATTATTTGTTGGTAGCAAGAATAAACCCAGAACAATATTTCCAAACATAGGTTTAGCTGATGAGCTAATCAAATGCACAACTAGGACATAGTAGCACCCCTCTTGTTTTTTTCAAGCTGAAATACTAATGTGAAATAAAATAGCTTAAAAAATTAAACTTGATTGCTGATTTTTCACAACTGTCATTATTTTTTAAATGACATATATATTATTATACCAAATTTTAAACTAAATTATAAGTAAATAAATGGGATTTACCAATAATGAAGACACAAATTTATTCAAAAACACAATCTTCATTCTTCCAAAACTGACTGACACACTCATGTCTACAGCTGACATATCAATATAATTTTCATCATCTGTTGCATTATTGAACATGACTAACTTAACGTCTAGAACTTCTCCAGCTACAGTAGTTATAATCTGCAAAAAATAAAATTATTTAAAATAATAAAGGCTGAAACAAAAACTACTGAGATAATGCATTTTATGAACTCCAATTTTTACCATTTTGTTTTCAACAAAATAACACAAGCATAAAAATAACAGAAGATTTTTATTAAAAATAAAACAAAAATTTTTAAGAGGATGTGAATGATCTTACAAACTGCAAATAATAGCATTATAACAACAAAAAAAAATGACTGGCAATTTCATAAAAAATTTCTACACTACAAAAAAATTGATTGGGTTAGTTTTAAAATAAAATTTTAGTAGAATTCAGTATAATTCTACATTATAATATAAATAAATAATATGAAACAACTTTTAAAATAGCTCTCAGCAATAACTTAAATAGCTAAATTAAGCAACGTTTAACAGGCCCATTAAAAAATTGTTCTTCAGAAATTACTAATTAATTTTTGGAAAATGATAAAAATATATGGCTTTAAATGGTTGATAACAATGGAATAAAACAAAACAGAATGGTTTTTAAATCTTTGATACAGAACTTAGTAAAATACTTAATATATTTAAATTTTATATATTTCACACAAATTTTGTGACAGCAGACTATACAATTTACTCCAAGAAAACAAGAAAAAAAGGAAAATCATTATTATTTTAGTTCATTGAATACAGTAAAATATTAAATGAATGAAAATATTGGATAGATAATACTTATAAATTAAGTTGCACATAAGAAATTTAATTTTCATGTACCATTTGATAACAAAAAGTTAAAAAAGATCGAGTTTCACATTTAAAATTAAATCTTTCTTTTATTGCAAAAAAAAAAAAAAAAAAAAAAAATTCTAACAAATAAAATTATAATTTACTTGAGGATATACAGCATCAAAAGCTGGATCAGAAACAATGACATCCTTCAAGGAAGCAGAAACACATGTTTTTGTTTTTTGTAAAGTAATGGCAGCGTTCATTCCTTAAAAGACAAAAATATCTAATTCAAATACATAACCTAGTAAACAACAATTTTTGAATACTTCAAATTTAAGTTATATATACAGGAACCATCAATAAAAAATTACTTGAAAGATGACAATTAATTATTTCAGCACTTACAGCTTTTTGAAACTATTTAGAAAAAAAACTAAAATTCTAAGTATTAGTGTAATAAAAAAGAATATAAAGAATACTAGAAAGAATAATGAACAAAATGTTAAAATTTAAAAGTTAAAATGTCCTTAAAGCTTTAAGAAACATCAGATTAAGAAAAAAAAGCATTACAAAATATTTTTATTGTTTTCCAGAAAAGAAAAAATTGTGTGCCAAATATTTAACAAAGTAATTATATAAGTAAGTATTAATAAGTAATAAGTTACATAAGTAAGTATTTATAAGTAATATAAATAAGTATTAATAAGTAATATTATTCATTTTTAAATAAAAATATAAAATAAGAGGAATTAATAAATTAACAAGTTTAACTATGAATTTTAAGGAATAAACCTTTAAAAGTAAAGCGAAATGGAAAAGTAAAAAATAATCATTCAATAAAATCCTTACCTTTGATTTTTATATCAGTAAGATCATATTTTTTGTTACAAACAACAAGCCTAATTGATTCCATTGCAGCCACCAGCTTCATATCAATAATTTGAGAAGCAGCCTTTTTCCTAGAAGATGCTGAATAAAAACACATTTATTTAATGAATAAAGAGGTTCTACAACAGATATCACACTAGACAGTTCTATAAATAAATTTCATTTCATCAGTATGAAAAACAATAATAAGTTAGAATTTATAGCTGATGGATTTTCAGTTCCTAAAATTGAATTATATTAACAGTCTTTAGTCAAATAGTGATTTTCCTTTATTTATTTATTCTTTTTTGTTAGAATATACACTTTTTAATAAAAATTTATTCTGAGAAAATTTATTCTATTTAATAGAGAACATATGGCATTTAATTTTGTCAAAAATAATTTCTCACTTTATTTACAACAATAGTAGAATTATAGAATAGAATAGTAGAACTATAGAATAGCTGCACAATTCTTTCACATTTGCACAATTCTTGAATAAAAATATATTTGTTTTGACATTGATGTTTTCTTCAATTAACAAAAAAAAAATTACCTTACTTTGTAAAACAATTTATTTGGTTATACATGATTTTGCATGTATGAAAATAACCAATTGATGTTAAACCATCACCAAAACTTTCAGAAAATGAATTCCATATACATAGAAACTAAAATTTAAAAGAACTTATACATGAGAAAGTTAACCAACTTCATTTATTTAACATTGAAACTTTCGTATGCTAAAGGTGCTTCTAATATACAAAATTACAGTCACAATGTAAAAAATCTTTTTAAAGATAGAAAAATAAAATTTTATTAATATTGACTAAAAAAAAATTATGAATTGTTCATAACAGGTAGAATTTTGGCACTTTCAAGAGCATTTATTTTAAAATCATCCTTTGCATCAACCCAATTTACAAAAAAGTCACAATAATTTAAACATAAAATGTAAATAACCTGTTTTTGAACTTGTCTTTTCAACTGATGTTTCTTTTTTGGAAGAAGTAGAATCCAGTCTGACAGGCTCATTTTTTTCAGAATCTGACTGCATATTAGACAAAACAGTATTTGAAAAGTCCATTAAACTTAAAATTGCTTCCTGATGAAGAATAACATCAATCGATTTAAAATCTGCAGTCACTGCTTGCAAAGTAGACTCATATAATGTTTCAAAATCAGGAGCCTTCTTGTTAACCTAAGAATAAATCTATACATTATACATTACATTTAAATCTTAACCTAGTTAACTACACATTAAATTTAAACCTGAAAAATTGCTATTTGTAAGCAATTATTTAAAGCAGCAATGCTATCTTATTTCAATGCTATTATCAGCATTGTTGCTTCAAACACTTAGCTTTCGAAAGTCAATAAACCTAGGATAAATGCAAGAATTATTCAATAACTGAAATCCACTTTAAGAATATAATATATTTAAAATAATTTTTTTAAATTTTATTACAGTTTATAACAGCTAAATTTTAATTTAATCCTTATAAATAAATTATGATTTTTTAAAAACTATCAATGCATCTAAAATTTAAAATAAAAAATTCACAGAAATAAAAAAAAATCTACTTACAGAGAGGTATTTTAAAGAAAACAAATTTTCATCTGAAATTCTTGAAGTTGATGAAATCATTTTCAAAACTTCTCCACTAGGTGCTATAGAAAAATATATTAAATGTGAACAGAATCTTACACATTTTAATAATATTTAAAATTAAGGATATTTAAAAGTTAAGATAACTTAAAGTAATGACAAAGAAGAAAACTTAATTTTGTATATTTTCTCAATTTTAATTCTATTAAAAGTGCAAAACAGAAATACAATAACAGCATAGTTGCAAACAGTCAATATTTGTACTAGATCACAATTATTTAAACACTAAAAGTTTTACTTCACACTTAAGTAAATGTGCATATTGTTGATATAATAAATTTCTGGAATATGAGGATTGCTATTTACTTATTTTTGCAGAAAATTTTCACAGCTATTTTAAAATAACTGTTCTTAAAATTCAAATATGAATTTTTTAACAAGGATGATATTTATTTTTTTCTCCTGAAGCACTTTACACTTATCTCAAGAACATATTTCTATATTGTCTCAAATAAATAATTTAATTATTTTTACTACTGTTTACAATTTTATAAACTACAAAATGCAATTAACCCCTTTTTCAAGAAATAAAATTTATTTTAATTCAAAGACATACCATTTATTCACATTTTTCAAAATTATTTACTTGATAGGTATTATTATTTAAAGTATTATTATTTAAAGTATTATTATTATAGGTATTATTATTTAAGGTATTATTATTTAAGTTTAAGACAAGAAATTTTCAGGTTTAATTTATTTTATTATTTCTAATAATTTAAATGGAAAAAATTCTGTAAAGGAACAGCAAGGATTTCTCATTTGAGAAAAGAAAAATTATTACTTACAGAAAAAGAATTATTACTTATAGAAAAGAATTACTAATAATGCTAGGAAACTAGAAATTAATTACTAAAAAAATATCATTAAGTACTTTGTTCATATAAAAAAATAAAGGTCAGTGAAATTAATAACTTGATAAAAGAGAGAAAATTCTCCCCATAATTAAATCTAGCTAGAGCATCATGAACCAATCTAAGAATTTACCAATCTAAGCTGTGAAAAAATTTATTAATAATAAAATAATGAATACTCACTAAAATGTTTAATTTTTTTATTGAGTGGTACAAATTAATAAAATCACACTTGTTTTTGTTCTAACTCAACATAAAAAAAAACCAAGAAGCCAATCCCTCAGTGAAATATCAAAGAATAAATAATTTAGATCAGATAAAAAAAAAATTATTTCAAATTGCTCTAACAGAACAAGTTTATCTTCATTATCCATATACTTAAGCTACATATAAAATAAGTTTCAATATTACTTATATATTTAAATTAATCCAAACAAAATATATTTAAATATATATTTAAATAATATTTTCATAATAATACTTATATATTTAATATGAGTATTATTATTAAAATATTATTTAATATTTTAATAATAGACTTATATATATAATAGTATTATTATTAGTAAAATATATTTAATAATATTTTAATAATACTAATAATTTAAATAATAATACTTATATATTTAAATAATCCAAACAAAATGGGTCTAATTGAAATATTTATTTACTGATGAAAAAGCAAAAAATTATTTTACAAACAAATAACACAAAATTATAATTTAAAATAAAAAAAAACATTTTCGCTTAATTTGATGATTTTCTTGAGAAAAAAATAAATCAATTGATTCAAATCATTACCAAAGGTATTAGTTGTTATAACATTATAGATTACAGTTAAACAGGGAAAAAAATCCAGTATTTATATTTTGTTTCATCCATTATTAAATAAATTAATCAATTGCATTTGTCAGCCAACAAAATAGATAAATATTTTTATTTAAATTTTTACCTAGGGAATTGAATTAAAATATTGCTGAGCAGTGTATTCGAAATTGATTTTAAAGTTTTTAAATAAGAACCTATCACTTAAGTTTTCAGATTATTAATAAATGAAAAAAAAATTTAACTACGAATACTATCACAATTTGTTTTGACTGAATTTAACACCATTTTTAGAATTTTTTTTTTAATATGTTAGCAAGCTAAGTAATGAAATATTTTATCATTTGCAATATTTACGATAAAAAAACTTTCATTCAATAAAAAAGAATTTTTTAAAAATGCCACAGCTTATATAATGAATTCTTGTAATAGATCGTAATTAATCACATTCAAATTATTTAAATAAAATAACATATTAAATTTAAAATTCCTATGAATTTTAAAATTAATAAACACGAAACACTACTACTCATATAAATTAATGCTATGTAAGGAAAATATAATTAAATTGATTGTTTTAAAAAGTATATATATATAAACACAATGTAAAACTTCTCATTGCGTTTTTATTTTTTTATATTTTTTTATTTTTGCATAAGTATGCTTAATGGTATGGAATGAATAATTACTTGAGAACTCAGGGTGTTCCAAAAGTATACTTCCCAAATAAACATTTGCACTCATATCAAATGTTCGCATAGTTACATTTGTTCCAAGTTTATGAAATGCCAATCTAAACATCTTAACTTCATTTTCATTCATCCCTCGGGAAATAGCAAACGAAAACTGAAAAAACACAAAAATTCACAAAAATTCACAATCATGAATGGAAGGAAATTAATTCAAATAATAATTAAAAAAAAAATTTATATTAATTTGAAAACCCACAAAAATCTTAAATAATTTATGCAATAGTATGTTATAATAAAAGTGTATAATTGTGTAAAAGTATGTTATAATTGTGTGAAACATCCTTCTCTTTAGTATAGCACTAGTTTAAGTGTTTTAGCAGAAGGCTATCAATAAAATTAAGAATGTAAACAATGTAAATATGTTTATTAAGTTTCGTGCAAAATTTTTTTTTTAATTGAAAGTCTATAAACATAATGCAGCATAACTTTCATTAAATCATTTAGCACAATGCACAACATAATATATCATATAATAAGTAATTTTAACTTTAATTAAGTAACTTAAGAAGCATATTATAACATAATTCTATAACTTGTTCAATATCAGCATCAACTATTAAATCATTAATCACAATAAACAACATATTATGTAAGAAGTAGTTTTAAACTTTGCATAGAAAAGTGGGGTTAATATCCATTTATAATTTCTGAAGAAGTTTTCAACAATTGTCTTTGCTAATATGTGTTAATATTTTATTATTTAAAAAAATATCAGTGAAGCCCAAAAAATATTCCGAAATTCAGAGCTCCATTTTTACAGGGGGTTTGTAATTGATTCTACTTCACAATTAGTCTGAAAAATATTGGTTTCCATTTTCTTATGTCTATTCTACTTTACTATTTACTGTTATATTTCTTTGAATAGTAAATAATATGATTACAAGCATAAATTTTGATGGCTGTAAACGAAATTAAGGAAAATTTATAACTCATTAATTCATTGATTTATTAAAAAAAACTTATCACATAATAGAAAAATACCAGTACATGCAATAAGAACATTAGCTATTCCTGTTAACAGAGCAGTTTTGCCAAGTGAAAGCTAATAATGAATGAAGATTATTTAGATTAGCACTATATTGAATAGCATATTGTTGCAAATCGATAGTTATAGAAACAAGAAGCAACTGAGCCTTTATAATATTGCATCAAACTAGTAGTACTTTATACAATTGTTTCTAATTAATAAATAATATCTCGGTGTTATAATGTAATAAATCATTCTTGAAAGATTAGCTCAATGTAATGAGTCTTTTATGTTAGTCTTTAATTGAGCCTGGAATTATCTTAGCAAGATTATTTCAAATAAAAATAAATAAAATAATATTACAAAGCTTACTTCTTGTATATCAAAGATTAACTCCAAGCTAGTACTCTGAACAGGTATTTTTTGGCTGCTGATACTACTGTCATCATCATCATCTGTTTCACTTGAAAGATTTTTCACATTTTCAACAGCCTCTCTTTTAATTTGCTGCACTACTTTTGTATTAACTAAGTCAGCTCCAACAGCAGATGGCTGAAAAAAATATTTCACATAATTTTTTTTTCAAAATGATTAAAAGAATTACAAATAATGTGAGCTATTAATTAAACTTTCAGATGCACTAACTACTGCACTAGAATTTAAAGTCAGATTTTGTTTTCTTCTTAAAAAAATAAACCTATTTTTCCTATTGCTTCAGAAAGAAACACTAGAAAATTTGTATACAAATTGCAAGTAGCTTAATAACTAAAAAATACATAAACTTAAAAATAAATAAACAGCAAAAACATAAAAAGTTCTGTTAGAAATAGCACTATCAACTTTATTTCTATGCTAAACATTTAGCATAAACAGTTGAATTAACTTATAACAAGCCCTTATATAAGCCCTGATTTAACAAGAACCTGGATATAACAAAGAAATTAAACTTACTTATTTGATATAATGTCTATTGGAACATGCACACTTTTAATGAGTAAACCAAGATTTTAATGAGCAATATTTAACGAGTGAAAAAGTAAGTGACATTTGAAATTTGAAAGTTAGTAGAGAGAATTTGAAATTTTGTATCTGTTGATATAAATTTCATCACCTCAGAGATACCCTTACTCTACAATATTGTAACTGAAATTCAAGCTCAAGCAGATGAAAAAATAATGAAAGCGATGATAACAATGTGTGAAGAATTTAAAGCTGAACCAGACTAAATACTCAGTGGCCTTTGTGCGTGAAGAAAAACTTTCAATTCTTTTCGAAAGTAGGGTTGTAAATGGCAATGTTTTTCATGAGTCTCATCCCAAAAACAATATTAAAACAAAGATACAATCAGACAGTTTAAAAACAAATTAGCATCTTTTGTACTGTACAAAAATAAATAAGGTAAGGAGCATATTTATAATTTAGTAAGTGATTTTGCAAGTAACTTTTACAGTTTCTCACAACTAATTTTATATGTGCACTTTCTTAAAGAATACTGTGATCGCTCCACTCTCATTAAAAAGGAGTTCAACTGTATATAAAAATATTAACTACAAGAAAATAAATTTTAAAATTAAATTATTTCATACATCCCTTTTACTTAATTGTAAATCAGAAATTTAATCAAACAAAAAAAAATAATACTCTCAAAATTGACAAGAAAATGCTTTTACATTTTATTTTACAAGAAAACATTCCAGAATAAATTCATAAAACTCTCACAAAACTTAATTAGTTTTAGAACAATTGAGAGAAAGTGTATACTTTAAAATTTAGTTACAAAGTTGGTTCTTGAGAATAACGTTTAAGATTAAGGTACCATATTCACACTTTTAACAATCATTTTTATATTAGATAATGTTAACATCTTGAGCACAACTTAAGATTGAAACCCGAGGGCATTGCAGATTATCTCAGCATCTGCAAGTTATTTTTCATCTCAAATTATTAAAAAAAAGGGGGGATTATTAACACCCCTCTTTTAAAACATCTCTAAACTTTTTTTGAATTAAAATTATAATGTTGAGTTAAGAGAGCACGCTAAATAACAAAAAAATAAAGTATAACTTATTTTCTGTTAGTTGATTATAGAATTATACTGAAAAAGAAAGGACTTATTCCACATTTTTTATTGTATCATTGTGTATTTACATTAAGCTTAGACAACTTAAAATTTCTATGAATAATTTTTTAATACCTTTGCAGATTCTGTTAGCTTAAGCTGAATCTTTACAACATTAATATCTGTCTGACTGCATTGGGATTGCAAACCAATGAGGATTTATGTGGTAGTAGTATTCTGTGATGAGTGGTCAAATTTTTTTGGAGAATGGAAATTAAATGTTTCAATTTATCTAAATTAGGTCTCGAACATTTATTGTATTAACACTAGTGAAATAACAAAATATAGATTATAGCAAACTATTACTATTTAGTTCATTAATCCTATTTTTCTCAATGACTATTATTATTGTTTTTCCTGGATTTATCTAGCCAATTTTCATCTTTTGAATTTAACATAATAATAAATATCTGATACATCGCTGGTTGGAATTTTTCGGAGCACAGACTCATCTTTCAGAAGACTCTTACATAATAGTAGCTTTTTTAAACAAAGGTAGAGAGAGGGCATTCTAATTAAGTGTCTAGCTTTTAAACATCGATATTCGGCATCATCCACCAATCACAAGTTACTGAGCATCTTGCATAAAGTATTTTACAAGTAAGTAGGTGAAGAATTGAGTAGTAACCGGCTTCTCCTGTGAGAAAAATATTGTGTCACGAGCATGGTTTGTTACCACTCCCGATGAACACAGAACATCCAACTTTTATGACTTAATAAGTACTTAACAACAAGTACTAGAGATAAACATCAAGTACAGATTTGGCTGATTTGATGTGATTATTGATCATAATTGAAACACTTTTTCATATATTTGCAAAGAGCACTGTATTTGTTTTGTTTCTTTTTAAATTTTCCTTTGTGATGTAGATAAATTGAGCTATCTAATATATCGAAACAAAAGTTAGAAAAAAATATTAAGTGTCCTTGTAAAAATATACAAAAAATTCATATCAATAAGGAAAGTAAACTTACTAAATTTTGAATCGTAGAAGAGCTTCTGTCAGTAGTTGTTTTTTCACCCTCAGGCAATGGTATACTTGTAGCAATTTTTACAAGTTCAAATATTTGGCAATCTGATATGCCAACATCCAAAAGAGGGAGAACTCCCACTATTTTCATCCTGAAATGTTAGGTAGTCATAATTGTATGAGAAAATGAATGAAATATATGTAAAAAAAATCACATGCTTATAATATCTATATTTAAGTTATTAAATTTTTTAAAAAAAAAAACAACCAAATAGAAAAATCCTTTTTGATTTTTTTTAATTTTTGCTTTTACTCAATGTTATGAAAAGTTCCAAAAGTCATACTGTTTTATCAATATTTAAAAAATTGACTTTAAACTTTTAAACAGCTTTATTAAATTTTTGTACAAGTTTATCATCATTTGATTTTTTAATTTGATTAAAATAAATATTGTAGAAATAGTTTTAGAAATTAAAGTTTAATTTTAGTTATTTTTTTGACTAAACACATTTAATGCCTTACAATTTTATAGATTTACATTAAGATTTTCTAATTCACATTTTGCACAACAAATATTTTTACTTGATAAATGCAGACTAAAATATTAATAAAAATTTCACTAAAGTTTGAAACGTTTAGGTTTTAGCATTAAACATTTTGATAAGTATAAAACTTTCAATAATAAAAAGAAAACTTTATAATATCTATTTAATAATAAAAAAGAAAAGGCCAAAAAAAAATACTTAAATACAGGAAAAATAGGAATAATCAGTAAGGCAAAAAAAGATCACAGATTTTAAATTAGATGTGTTATTTGACACGCATTTTTGCATCAACTTAAAACATGCTAAGGATATAATGAATTGTAAAGATAGATATGGTCACAAGGAATAATACCTTAAAAGGAATAATACCTCTTTAATATTCTTCCAAATAAAATATTTACCTTTTCATAATCTAGTTTTGAACAAAATACATCCATAACATTATTTTTAATGCATCTACAATATTATAAATGTATTTTATAATATTATGGAAGTATTATTATAAAAACAATTTATAATACATCAAATGAGTTGCTACTGTTGAAAATTATTTTATAAAATAAACTTAGATTTTTACTTTTAAAACAATTTTGCTGGTTTTCCTACATTTTACTACTGAATGGTCAAATTAATTTTCTTTTATAATTAAATACTTGGCTTTCTCCTTATAGCTTCTGACTAACAAAATAAAGTCTTATAAACTTACTGTGGCATTCGAGGATCAATGGTCACAATAGATTTATGGAAATCAACACTTATTGTTAATGGATACAATAAATGGTGAGGATCACCAAGTTTTCCAATAAAATCTCGCCAATCTTCTCCTGTGTAAGGACAATAAATTCAAAGATTAAAATATGTATTAAAAATTACTGAAAAAAGATTGAGCGTGAATAAAAATATTCGTCGATTTAAATGAAAAAAAGTTTATCTAAAAAATTGGCATACTGTACTCACATAAAATTATTCAGAATTTAACTTACAATCAAATGACTAATTATGTATTCAGATGAAGAAAAAAGTTTTAAATATTTTATTCACTTAAGAAGACTCTATAATTCTGTTTTTACCTCCATTTGTATTATAAAATATATGTTAAAAGTGAGCACACGTAAACCTTAAGCAAACCATAAATTTAAAAATTGTGACAAAAATGTTTTTAAATATCAAGAGGCAAACAAATTATAGGAAGAAAACTTCGCTACTGAATAATACTCCCAAACTTTGTTTGAATTTAGATATTTTGAAAAATATAAATAAATTTTTTCAGCATTTGAAACATCTTCGTTTACCTGAACACATCTTTTCTGTACTTTAAAATTTTAAATTACTTATGAAGGTGAAACAGAATTTGCCATAAAAGATTTCTAATGTGGCACAGAATCCTCTTAACAACTGACATAAAAATATTGAGTAAGAGTATATACATTTTACAAAATAGTTATACGTATAACTATATGCATTTTACAAAATAAATGTTGCTTTACGCAAAAGAAAAAATTATCACATAAATTATTTTTACAAATATAATAAAATTATTTTAAAACATTTATCACCAAGAAATGTTTGATGTTTCCAAATCTAATTCTCACTTAATTTATCATTAACTAAGCAAAAAAGTTTAAAAATGAAAACTGTATCCAGTCAACAAAATGATTCATACAAAATGTATTCATACTAAGATAATTATGCAAATATGTTATATATATATGTTTATATAATAAGTGATCAACAATTGACTCACATAGAGCAGAAAAAATCTTTCAATAAAAAAATCATCAATCAAAACACAAAAACAAAAAATTCATACAAATTTTGCAGAAAGAAATACAGTAGAGCACTGATTATTTAGGCTGGTTAAACTTTAAATGATACCCCATTATATTACGGGTGCACAAGCTATGAGCCACTTGCGTTTTTAGAGCAACGAGCCACTTGCACAACAGGTTGACTTATGAAGGGCTACATGGAAATTAATTGTAATAACTGTTTAAAAAAAATAATCAAAAAGTCATTTGGATTTATGATGAAATTGGTGAAAGAGTCAAAAAAAGATCACTAAAATTTAAATTTCGCATATCATAATATCTTATTAAAAATATTTTTATTTTTGTAAACATGTCAAATTACATAGTAATAACCATTAAAAAGTTTTTTGAAAAACAATATTGAGTTATGATAGAATCTGGGCGAATTGAGCCCATCAAAAAGTGCTGACTCAAATGTGCAACTCAAAATTTTTAAATTTTTGAAAGAAAAAAAAAAGATTATTTTTTTATTGTATACAGATGCTCTTGCAGGTCGCACACCAACAGTTAGTATTGTGCACCCCTATTGTATTGTAATTGAAATTTTATGTTATGAAAAATATAATGTAAAAAATATTACATAAAAATTTGGTGTAATTTTATAACAGTAATACAGTAGGGAACCGATTATCCGGAACGATCGGGACTATCGCTATTCCGGATAACTGATTTTTCCGGTTTTCTGAATCGCTACGAAAAGCCGTTTTTTTTATTGTTAAACACAAATAAAAAAAAAAAGTATTTGGAAACAATCTTAAAAAAGAAGAAAAAACGATGAAGTAATACACTAATGATTATTTATAAAATGATGATAAGGTAAACATCTTTCAAAAAAGAAAGAAAAATCCTAAAATCTTAAGAAGAAAAAAAAAATTTTTCTTTTTAAATGGTGGGAAAATTTATTGAATTTTGTTTTGGTTTTCTGATTTCCGGATAACGGGTTCTGTACTGTATTATTTTTGCACTATTAAAAAGCTAGATATTATATTCAGTTCAAACACACTTTACATCTTAAATATTTCGAAATTTAAATAAAATATTCACATGTTCTAATGAGTTACAAGGTTTTTGAAAAATAAAAGTTTCCATGAAATAACAAAAAAAAAATTTTTTTTAAAATTATTCCATGATAAATCAATTTCATTGCACAATTTTGATACAAAATTATGTTTATTTCACAACATTTACACTGTCATAATTTATATGCTGTTCATTTAGAGAGCAAAAACTACCGATCCAGGACAATTCTCCTTCAAAAATGGGTGATAAGCACTGTCTTAAGATTTAAAAAGTGATTGCACGTGCACTGCTAAGTAAACAACCCATCGTTCTTTCTCTCACCTCCAATTTTAATAAAATTTAAGCAAATCTGGTGCAAACCCAAGTGGGCATAAAGTCTTTGGGCATGCAGCATTCAGTTCACATCTTATATGTAATACTGCGACTAAGAAAAAGTAAATAAGTGCTTATTTTTACAAATTAAAATTAATTGCAAAATATAAAAACATAAAATGACATACCTGCTTGAGACAGAAGTATTTCAACATTTTTCACTGATATTTTGAATTTGTCATATGCTTTGTCAATCATAGTAGACAAAACTTCCTCCTAAAATTAATATCAACACATTCAATTAATTTAAATTAAATATCAAAGGTATAGTGTATCTACTCATACTGCATATATAAGTAAAATATTCAAATTATCAAAAAAATATTAAAGAACAATCTATTTGAAAAATACATTGTAAGGCATATAAATATTTTTATGAGATGAAAGATTTAAATATTTATAAAAAATTACATGGATATATATCACATATAGATATCACATGCTATAAATTTTCCGATTTTGAGATATTTAATTAATGTAATTCTTAAAAATTAAAATGAATTCTTAATTGAGTTCCAGGTAAACCTTGATTTATCATTCCACTTTTCTTGCTTTCCCATAAGTATCAGATTGTTTTAATGGTTTCGTTACAAATACTATTCTTATAATGTTAATAAAACCCATTTAGATTGTTTTTGAAAGTAGCAGATATCTGCGTCTATAAAATTTCCTGTATTCACACCAACTTACAGAAAATGAACAACAATCTGTCACAAACATTGAAAAGTTATTATTTGCGCTGGAAAAAAAGAGTGTGTTCAAAACAAAATTTCCAAATATCTCAGATAAATAAACGTTTATTCATCCTTATTTTGAATCGTTAATATTTTTGCATAAAGTAGATCAGTTAAAATTTTTCATACTTGTTGTAAATGTATATTTTTTGAGTTTATTCATTCTTTTATTTGACTTTTTTAAGTTGACCCACATTTGTTGTTTTCCTGTATCTATAAATCATAATCAGTGTTCCCATGAGAAACAATCAATCAAGGTTTATATTATTAAAATGTTAAGCATATGAAGTTATCGTAGCTAAAAATTAGAATTTGAAATTCATTTGCACGTAAATACCGATATATTGAAAAATTTTAAAAAAACTTACCTCTGTGCTTCCTGCCTTTACAAGGCTTTTAACAGTTGGTGACTCAGGGTCTCTCTTACTACTATCCATAGTGAAATTTCCAAGACTTATAACAATTAGTGATGAATTACTAAGAAATAAAAATGCAATAGATTATTAATATACGAAATAATAAAATACTACAAGAAATATATTCAAATATTTTTTTCTGAACCAAAATATCTGTTTTTATTAACCTTTGTGAAAATCGTCAATCGACGACTGTAAATTTTAAAAAAATTATACAATTAAGATCCTCTACACAGCCTCTTTATGAAAATGCATTAAGCAGTCACAATTTCATGAGGATGTTTTGACACTATTTTCATTACCAGGTGTCACGAAAAGCATTCGCCAATGCGCCAAAATCGTAAACTTGGTTAATAAGATTATGTTTTGGCGAAAGTATTGGCGAATAATTTTTTTACATATAAACTGGAAGAAAAAATATATATTTAACTAGATCATCAAAATTATGTTAAAAGGAATTTTTTTTAACAAATCAGTATTTTTTTTTTTATTCGATTAAAGTAATTTTCAGTAGATGTGCCGCATAACCAGTTAGAATTCGGTCCAAATAATATAAGCCTGAAACAAACTATCCTTAAATAGTTTTTTTTATGGGAAAAAAATTTATCATAAAAAGTTGATAAGATTTGCAGTTTGCGAAAACTTTCGAAAATTGGCAAATACTTTTGAAATTTGGCTAATTTACTGGCCAATAATTTAAACTCCTTAGCGCTGGCCCTGATTACCATTGTTGAAATCATTTTATAATAACAGAAATGCATTTTAGTTTATTATACACTTATTATATTTATTAAAATTAATAACTTAAATCCTATGTATTTATAAGTTCTCTCATTTTACTGATATTTAATCAATTCCATTTTTTAATCAATCTTTTGCTTTTTGGAGCTGAGCGGCGATTATAATAATTAGACTAACATTGCAGGCCTTTAAAAAACTTTCAATATATTTTTTTTCTAATTATTGCAAAGTAAAAAATGAATCAGTTTTTAAACTCCAAAATATGTTTTTCAAAAACAAAAAGCAAAAAATGTGAAGCTGAATTACCATAAAAAGTATTTAAATGCAGTAAATAATGTAAAAGACATTCAATAAATTTCAAATAATATAGAAAATATTTAAATAATGTAGTAAAGAAAAGATTCATTACTCTTTAAGAACACCCTTTTCTGGAACTATAATAAAAACTGGCTGCATATCAATGGTGAGATCTAAATATTTATGCTGTTCTATAGCATACTGAAGTCCAAATGCTGACATCTCTTTTAAATCTTCTAATTTTAACATAGCTGTTGCTTGAAGCCTTTAAAGAAAGTTAAAAAAAAGTCCTCAATACTACAAAAATGACATTCCTTTTCAATTTATAAGCTCTTAAATAACAATAATTCAATTTGAAAAGCAAAATAAATTATTTGCTTTACTTAAAAATAAGTACTTACTGTTGTAATGCTGGATTTTCAGGGGGTTTAAATACTTCTGTGAGATTGTTTACAGTGATCTGAAATTTATAATTACAAATCTATTAAACATGATAGTTTATATTTTTAACATAAGAATTAATTGATTTAATTGAAAAAATGTTGTTTGAAATCAGAATAAAGAGAAAAAATTAGCAAGAACACAGAAACAAAATCTGCTAACTGCTCACTTTGGAAGGAAAAAAAAAAAAAGGTTACATTTATAATTAAAACAAATTGTCTTGCATCCTCAGTTTGAAATACATCGATAAAATAAATATTTAAGTTTATTTATATTTTTACCATTTTTTTATGAACTTTATAAAAAAATGCTTATTACAATAAAATGATTAAGTCAAACTTACAGCATCATAGATTATTTCTAATGGCTGTGCTTGAACATTTAATCGTTGATCACATGATCCATCAAGAGGATTGGTTTCAAATGCAATATTAAGCAATGGAAGATTGCTTGACTCATACTGCCTAGAGGAGACAATTGTAGGAGTAAACTTTCCAACAGGTACTCCTCTTACAATGAAGCTATCTATCTTGGACTCGAAACTGAAAGAAAACAAGTTAGTTATTATATGGATGAATTACCAAAAAAAAAGAAGTAAAAAGATTAAAATTACATAAAAAAGTTTTAAGAATTTATTTTATATTTTCAAATTTACATTAGGAAATCCGTAATTACTCATTATGAGTTTCTAATTTAGTAACCATGTGTTTGATACAGTACCACAATGGATGCCTTTCTTTAACTACTTTATATGTTAATTAGATCTTTCTATTTTATTATAAGTAAATTCAAAGATAACTCTAATTTTTTCGTCCAACGTACATCTTTCTCTCCCTTTCACATTAGTGACTATGAAAACTTGAAAACACAACTGTCCCACTTTCCTTAAGATAGCAGCCCTACACTACTTCACCTTTATTAACACTTAGGTCTAAAAAGTTTGGCTAGAACTGCCACTGGAATAGCAATTTCCCTCTCTGAGGCTTCTCAGTATCATGAAACATTTGCAACTGACGAGTCATGCTTCTAGTTTACTAGAGGGGGAAAGTGTGGTGGCCACAACATAAACCTTCCTAACTCATCCTGGTCAGGGTTTAAGCAACGAACATCTTTCACCACTCAGCAAAAATTTCATAAAAGCAAACTAATTTAAATACTTGTATTCTTTAAATTTTTTCATCGAATTTTAACTGCATAAATGTGTGTTAGTACTACAAGAGAAATTTTAAAAGTTAAAAGTTTGAAAAAACTAATTTAAAATTTTCAATGTAATTAACAATGAAATAAAACTAAATAGATAAAAACATAACACATACATTGTAATAGTTTATATTTCATAATATTGTAAAATACCAATCTTACCTAAGTGCGGAGGCAGAAGGTCTTTGCTCAACAATCGCAGATACTTCCTTAAGACTGGCTTTTAATACTTGGGGTTCACTATCAGCATAGAAAAAAAAATTAATGAGATTTACTTTGATTTCATGCAATAAAAATGAAGTAATGTCACAAATATGGAAACAAATATATACCTTCTTGTATCATCTGAAAGTGTAACTGTCAAATTGTGCAGAAGGAATAATAGCTTGTTTTCTATAAACTAAATAATAACAAAATTTTCTTTAAAAATTAAGGTAAAAAAAGAATTTGTGAGCAAAGAAACAAGAAAAAGAAATCAAAGTTCATACATTGTATGAATTGGAAACATAATATTTGGTTTCCATGAGGATTGAAAACCAAAGTTTTTAAGAATTAAAATACATACCAATAATATAATACAATGTAAGTGAAATATTAAATAAAACAATCAAATCAATTGAATAAAAAAAATTATAATTATAAAATTAAATTAAGAAACCTAAAACTTCCTACCATTTAAATTTTAAATAATTATTTAAAAAAATTAATATAAAAAATTAACAATGCAACATTTTGAATATAGTTTTAAAGTTTCATTCCATGCATAAACATGGGAAAACATTCTAGTCTTGCCTCTTTTAAATTAATATGTTCAACACAATATAATATGTTCAGATAACAAAAAATTATTTAGGTTAGTTATAAGTTCCTGTTTTATTCATGTCACGTTCATGCTTTTCTTATAATGTTTGTTATCATGTTTTTTTTCTTCGTAATTTTATAAAATCAGATGTTGTTAAAAGATAATAAAAACAAGTAGTTACAAAGTAATAAGAACTGTTAAAAAAAATTAAAAAGAAATGCAATTTTGTTAGTGTTTTTCTTTTCTTCCTCAGATTTAATGAATACTAGATGTAATTTTAGATAGAGAAACCTCATGCTTTTAATTTATAAATAGTAAAAACTAAAAACAGAAATGAAATTTGCCATAAATTAACTTACAAATCATATTAAATCAAAATACATTAGTAAAGAATATACTTTTAATATAAACAATCAATATTATTAACTCTTAAAAAAATATAAATATTTCATTAAATGGTTAAAAAAAAAAGCACACAAAAAAATTCTATTAAATGATATTGTATTGGTATTATAAATAATTTTTGAATTTTAAATATTGTCATTACTTCTTTGGGGTATTCAGTCATAACTGCACTTTCTTGATAACCAATCGCTTCATATAACCTATTTTTTTCTTCAGCAGTCATAGCTTCTTCAAATTGTTTAACTAAAATAAATGTATATAGATCAAAAATAAATAAAATATAAATAATCCACATTTACTTACATGATAAATTAAAGCAATATATTAAATATTAATAAATGAGATTAACATTTTTTTTAAACATTTAAAGTGTTTATGAATTACCTAAGATGTTGTATATCAATCTTAAGATCAAGATGACACTTTTAAAATGGAGTTATTCTTTTAATTTTTTTTCTGATTGATAACTGAACAATTAAAGTAATTTAGTGAACATAATAAGGCACCTAAAATTGAGAGGCAGGGGTGCAGAAAATCCACAGGGCCTGATATTTCTCTAGAGCATAATTTTTTTAGTCAAAAATTTCCCCCAAAATAATAACGCTTTTTTATTTTACAATTGCTTTTTCAAAATATTTTTAGAAAGTATATTAAATGATAAAATGTTTTGGTAATAATTTTTTCTTTAACTAAAAAAAAATTTTTTTGATTTTACGTAATTCCTGTCAAAATATATTGAAATAGTCATAATTCATTCAACTAAATTTAAAAGAACGCTAAAAAAACTTGAATTAAAACTACTAATAAATAAATAAAGTGAGATATAAAGTTATTTGTGTTATATTAAACGTAACAGAAAATATTCTTTCCCTTTTGTTTATCAAAAAAGTCTTGTTTTTTTTCCCCCTTGAAATATTTTTTCATTTAGGAAATATTTTTTCATTCCATTTTTTTACAAGTCAAAGTTTTGTGAAGTGATCAATTTTTTTACATAAAAAAATTTTGTAGCAATATTTTTTAATAAACCAAAAATTTCCCCAGTACAACTTGAATTTCCCCCAGACCTCGTTTGTGAGATTGAACATATTCTGCACCCCTGCGAAGAGATGAGAGGTAATTAATAAAGTATAAATAAAATTAGTCATACTGTTCAAATAGATCAAACCTAGAATTAGAGTACACATGTTTAAATGCTGGTAGGCAATTAGAAAGTAGAAAAAAGAAATGTCTAGCATATTTTCAGCATCCAAGTAGTTTTATATATTTACTTATTTGTTTATTTTTGTTTTATTTAAAAATATTGATAAAAAAATTAGATATTTCAAGATAAAATTAAATTATCAAAACATGAAAATTTTTGCCCATGCTGATTTTCTTCAGAATACTTTAAAATGTCAAAAATATTGCCATTAACTTATTTTGTACTAAAATTGCTAAAGTACTTTTTAGGTGAAATTGGCTCTCATTTATTTTTATTTGAAAACCCTAGGACCATATAAATTACTACAGCAACCAAATATTTAAATTGGATATAAATGATAATTTAAATCATTTATTTTTTCTATTAAAAATATAATGTATAAAAATGATCATCAATTAAGAATACAGTAATAAAAATAAAATGTAAGTATTTTTACATTATTAAAAATTGACACATCATTTATTGAAGATTCCTTTGTAAGGATAAAAATAAATAGATTAAAAGAATACATTTTTCAAACAATTTCTTGAGACTCAGTTAATATTTATTCAAAACATATTTTTTTTAAATATTTTTTAATTTTTAAAGTAACATACCTATTTTAGCTCCATTACTGCTTTCAGAGCTGTGCGCATGTTGATCTTTACCAAAAAAGCTACCAAACCAGCCACCCCAGCTTTGTTTATTTTCCTTTTTAGATGACCTTAAAGCCTGAGAAAATGTTTAAAATACTTAAAAAATGTTTATACCTTGGATAGGGAAGTTACACTTCTATGAAGTTATCAACCATGAAAATATAACATAATAATAATAAAAATAAATAAACAAAAAATAAAAAATTTAACTGGTAATATTATGAAATAAAAACACACAAAATCAAATAAGCTGTAAATGATATTTATCAGCAATATAAAACTCACCTTCAGTTTTTTCTTTTTCTTTCATAAATGTGCATTAAAAGAAAATAAAGCTCATATAGAATATTTTCTAAAGAGTATATAAAAAGTGCAATATAATGAAACAAATAAAATGCTGTGGAGATATCTATTTGCCTTCGTACTTCTAAAGTCACAGCAAAAGCTTTTTATTTAAAACATTAAACTATATAACAATATAGTTTAACAGTTAGTAACACAATATATCAATATCCTATCTACTTTTAATAAAAATATTCTATCTACAATACCATTTAAGTATTGATTTTAGAAAGGATTCCTTGAACTACATGAAAAAAGCAAATAGTTCTTCTGTATTGGTTATAAAAAAGGAAATAATTTTAAAATATTTTAAGTAAATACAGAAACAAATTTTTTAATATTCTACTGGAACCTTTATTAACTTGCATTTCATAAATTTTCTAGAATTTATTTTTTTTAATGTAATAAACGAAAAATTTAAACACCTCAAAGCTTAAAGTCGTGCCTCATTACTCAAATGTCAATACGTAGCCCCTAGATTATAACCAAAATCATAAAAAAATAGATATATATATAGAAAATCCAAAATGTAAAGGTACTGATTATAAATAATTATATACAGTTAAAAATGTAAAAAAAAATATTCTCCCACACATATTTTACTAACCAATATAAAATGTGCAAAATTGCATTTTTTTCTTCTTTTGTATTTCAAAAATACTATGCACGTACTTTGTTACAGACACAATTTGCAGCACTTAGTCTTTTAATTTTTAATAACAAATTTATAAAATTAAAACAATAATAACAATAACAAATAATAACAAAATAATAGAACTAATTAACAAATGCAAACCATCATTCATTTATCTCATTATTAGTTGTTAAATTTTTTCAAATTTTGATTGATTTTAATGAACTTCTACTACTTTGGTTAAAATCTCAAATCTATCCACACAGTTCTGTTTTATTAATGTTAATCATACACAGTATAAAATCAAGAAAATATAAAATTTTAATAGAGGAAAAAAAAGGAAGTTGAGGTAATCAAAGAATGCATGAATATGAAGAAAAAAATTACATTAACATTTAATACATTCATTATCTAACAATCTTTTTTGTTTACATTCTTTTAAATGTATCTAAATTAAAACTTAGTTTAAAAAAAGAAAAATTTCATTCCTGAAAGAAATTAAACAAAAGAAATAACTCTACATAATAAGAATAGGATGCTTTAGTTTTCTTATACATGTTTCAAATCAAAATAGCTACATAAAACCACTTTCACAATTTTAGAGGAATAAAGATAAAGTGATAAAATAAAGAAGCTAACTGACTAGCATATACATATAAACAAATATTTTAACTGCAAGAAAACTAACTAAATTTGATTGTAATGCAACTCGTTTATAGATGCTGATATTGCACAAAAAGTGATGAGCAACACTTGAACTAAGTAAAATATTTATAAGAGTTTTAGCATCAAATATGCAATGCAAGTCAATAGAAAAGTAGACATCTAGCACAATTACACAACTACAAAAGCAAAGATAATAGTATCGAGCAAGAACAGAGCACAACAAAACTCACCTTATGATGTTTTGTTTGTGCCTCAAGAAGCAAAAGATATGAAATATTTAACATGAAAATTTAAAAAAAAATATTTAAAATACAAATGTGTACACAAACAAGATACAAACTAAAATAAGTTTTAAAAAAAACAGCACAGGAACGGAAGATACAATTTAACCCTTTAACTGTTAAACCACATATCCAATGAAAAGCATAAAATAAGCTGTTAAGCCATGTGGAAAAGAAACTAGGTTCTATTCTGAATCAAGTTCAGAGTTAACAACTAAAGGGTTAATATGACTTGTCATTTAGAATCCTGAGTAAAAAGATTGGTACTGTATAATTTTATTTGTTTTATTAATTTAAAACTGTTATTAATTACGTTAAAAGCATAGGATGTACAGTAGCAGTGCTGATATTAAATAATTTAATACATTCATATTAAGTAAAAATAATAAAAACTTTTAATTGTATCAATATATATATATNTAGATATATATATATATATATATTAAAGAAGCAAGCAGCACAGGACATTAAGGCATGATGTACACACGTAAGAAAATAGTTTATAAATTTAAAAAGAGAAAATTTAAAGGCTGAAAATAAAAGCATTTTTCTAATGATAGTAGCTTTCATAATACAGTAGAGTAGTAATTATAGAAACCAATTTAAAAAGTCTTGATTGCTATTCTATGATTTATATATGATAACTTGTGTTGAATATTTTATGTGTTTATTAATATTAACAGTTCCTTTGAATCAATGAAAAATGACTAGATAAAATTCAATTAAGCAAATTGAAAAAAAAAGTACTAGATAATTTTCCTTTAATTAAAAGTGATATAGAAATGCGTTAGATTTATAAAGCACAAATTTTTAAAATTTACTTTTTTAAAAACAAATTATTGTAAAATTTTTTTTAAAAGTATCATTAAAACACTATAAAAAATTAACAAAAATACAATTTTAATTCCGAATAGATGTTTTACTCTAAATTAAAAAGGGCACTTTTTTTCAAAAACATTTCTTGTAAATAAAAGTCCATAAGAACTTACAATAACTGATTAAAAATATTTACTTCATTTTACAAAATGTAAAAAAAAAGAAAAAGAAAAAAAAAACATCAATTTATTAATTTTTACTTTTACAAAACTTTAACAGATAAAACAATTTACAGAATAAAAAAATTTAACAACAAATTATAGTTTCAGAAACATTTTTTAAAAAAATTATAGTAAACTAACAAACTTTTCAGAAATAGTTTTATTCCAAACATAAAATCATTCTTTTGCGAATTTTAAATTTATTAATATTTATAGTCGTTCAGTATTTAAAAACTAACCTGTCAAAAAATTACTATTCCTTATATTAAATCACAAAATATATGCTTTGGAACAAGAGCTTAAGACTATTTTATTTCAATAAAAATTATTTTATTTCTATAAAAATTATAGTTTTTAACAAACTAATTAAAAGTTGAAAAACCAAGTTTTTTTTTTAAATCCAAATTCCCCATGAGATATTATTCTTTTTTTCTTTTTATATAGTACCTAACTATCGATTCTTAAACTAACATTCGCCTACTAAAAATAAAAACTCCTGGTAGCCAACTCACAATATTTTGTGAATTTTTCTAATTTCTGCACTTTGGCATATTCATAAAATTAATACCAATATCCTGAAATGTTCATAAAACAAACCTATGATCCTGAATACAACATTAAAAATGGTACATGCACTTCTAAGGGAAGTTTTTGCATATATTTGGAACTTTCTAGATAGAGTTCCACCCTTTTCTTCACAGGGATAAAAAATTAAATGAAACCTTGTTTTTAAAATGAAGATTTTGCCCTATTTTTTTGTTTTAAAAATAGAAAACAGCAGATTAATCGAAATCAATCTAAAAGATATTGATCACAATGTACTCTTGGGGTTTAAGTTTTTCAAAAGCAGTACATAAAATAAAAATTAGTACAAATATCTTTATTAAATTAAATTATATTTAATAAATATAACTAAAGAAAAAGATTAAATAGCATTATTCTCACTTCTAATTCAGCTTGTTTCCTCACAATAGTTATATTAAATATATCCAAGGCTTTTTCACAATCCTGAAAAAGTCATAGTAATTATTATGATGTTTATCGATGAAAAGAATGTTTTATTTTCCTTTACCATTCACTAAAAAAGTTAAATTTCAATGCTTATAATACTAATTGCATATCACAGCAACATTAATAGAGTAGTCAAAGGAAAATATAAATTTCAACAAAATTTCACACAGAATTTTTATTTTCTGAACAAATTCCTAGAATATTAATGAAGTTTATTGAATGACCTTATAAGTAATATTTTGTTAAGATTTTTATAAATTTAATCATACAAATCAGGATTTTAATAAATCTAACAATCACATGAATCTGTTGTCTCGACTAAAGATAAAAATGAAACTTCAACATGTTACTTGTTTTGACCAAATTACTTAAAACATAAATAAAAGTTTATTTCAGTATTTTTACAAGGCTCTGGCTTATTAAAGAAATAAAATTAGATGACTTTTCCATAAAACTCCCTGACATTTCAATCAAGTTTCACAATATACATTATGTATATTTTGCAATTATTAATAAAAAAAAACACTTTTGTTTCCTGAATTTGAAACATCAAATAGAAGATATAAGGGTATCTGCTACATTTTAGATTTTCAAATTCATGACTTTTCATGACTAATTCCAAGAATTTTTCATGACTGTACAAAGTTACTATTTTCTCTGACAAAAACACAACAGTAAATTTAAAAAAGCATCATAATAACATTAACTAAAATTATAGGTGTAACCAAAACTGTTATACTCTGCATCTTCATATTTATAGATTTTTAATTTAAAAAACAGAGAAAATAAAGATTTGAAGCAATAAAATAGCTCAAAAGTAATTTTTTCTTCTTTTTTCTGCAGAATTATATTCTAAAGATACTTTTCTTGTTCAAGGGAAAGGAAAGAAATACTTTTGACTTTTCTGTTCTCATTTCAAAATAAAAATAATTCGCCAATTACTGGCTTGCTTCAGCTAGAATTTCAAATTGATAAAATAAATAATAAAAATTCTGAAATCACAGAAGTTTAAAATATAATTTGCTCTAGAAATGTCTTTTTTTTCTTCCTTTTTTGAAAGAACACAATCTTTAAAGAACATGATAAAAACATTTTATATTTTAATAAAATATGACTATGAGTGGGGAGTTTGCTACAAATTCAGATATTCAGAACACCAAGAAATTGAGGAAGGGATAAATTCCAGTCTAAGAATTAGATTTTTTGGCGACCTAAATTAATGACTTTCCACGACTTTTTTTAAAAAAATAGTTACAATCATGACATTTCATGATAAATTTTGTTCAATACCAAAATTCATGACTTTAAAGGATTGTTCATGACTTTCCAGGTGCGCGGATACCCTGGATATAGTGAGTATCACTAAATGAATATATAGAGTGTAAAATAGATTGAATGAAGAATTTTATAATAAATAAAATGTTAGAATTATAAAACTATTATTTAACTAGAAGATCAAAAACGGATTAATGTTACTTGCAATTCTAAGATTAGTGATTTCCAAGGCATGTCATAGGAATTTTACAAGTTTTGGTAAAAAAAAATAAACAATAATAATTGTTACTTTCGCTATGTCTTACTTACTGTCTTACTTTAAATTAAATTGTGTGACAATTCTGGGATCTAACAGTTATCCCAGACATCTGGTACCCCTGTTTCAGTAGGGGGGGGGAATCATTTTCCTAATTTTAATTTAAGTAACTGTATGACAGAAAATTTTGATAATAGTGAAAAAAAAAAGCAAAATATAAAGTAAAAATGTAACTGAAAAGAAATTTACTCACATTCAATTCATTTAGCAAATCATGAGAGAACTTTTTACCCAATAATTTCAAAACATAAACTGTTTTATATTTTTTGCAGCAATCAAGATGAGATTTCATATGAGACCAAGACCAGTTTCTTCTTTTTCTACGAACATCTTCTTCAAGAATAGCATTGATAGCAAACTTCCACCTAAGTAATTAATTAAAAAAAAATGAATAGTGTCATTCAAGTTCATATAAAATGAAAATACATTCATTATTGAAAAAATTTCAGCAGCATATTTTTATCTTAAAATTAATGAAAATTAAATATAAGTGAAACCTCACAGATAACACATAAATTTCACCTACAAATTCACCTTGAAAAAATAATTTTGTTTTCATCCTAACCTTCATAAAATATACTCTTAGGTACAGAAATGTTACTGCTACAGAAATGTTGTCCTATAGTAATTACTTTTAGCGATAATGCATTTAAAAATATCTAATTGTGAAAGTATCATTAGTTCTGAAATAACAAATTAATGTAGCTGCCCCAAAAAACTAAAAAGTTTTTAATTTTTATTTTTTAACTAGGCCATTTTAAAGAAAATATGGTGCACTAAAAAATTCACTGCTTTGTCTCTAAATTGCAAAGATCAAGAATATTGGCAAGGCTTTCAATAAAAATATTACTTTTTCAATGATTATAAAAGAAAAAAAATCAGGTATGGTATTTATTGTGATCTTATCATAGAATTTTCTAAAAACACAATGGAATTAATTACAATAGTATCAATTGTGAAAGGCAGATACACAATACATTAGAGAATTGGTTTCCTTTAGGTATTGGAATATAAAGTACATATAAGTTTCTACATCAAAAAAGCAATTAAGAATAAATATACTTAAACATTACAAAAATCGCCTGTATTATTCATAAGTCTATTTCAGAACAAAAAATTTAAAAAAAATTAACAGCTTCATTGTAAATCAAAAGCTTAGAACAGAAACTGATTAGTCACTTCAAACCAGAACTATCATTTTAGATATTATTATAAACTTCCGTTGAATTGCTTTCTTTACGAAAAGTGGTCTTTAATTCCAATCAAAAACAATCCTGTTTTCTATTTCTATTTTAAATTAAAATTAAATACAAAAAAATCTTGACAGGCATTATTTTACACAAATAGTATATCAATCTCATTTTAAAAAGTTCTGTAAATATATAAGTTAAAAAACTCATCTCTAAAATAATTATACACATTTTCAAGTATAAAGTCAATGATTTGATTATTTGAAAACCTCTTTTTTTTGTCCCCAGTTAAAGTTTGATTAAAAGATAAGATAATTTTAAAAGACTTAAAATAAATTTAAAATCCACACAACATTTTCTTACCATATTTTTGCATTTCCTTTCTTCTGAACATTAGGTCTATATTTCCTGTATAATGTTGCTATTGTCATTCGATCTAGAGATTCCAACAACTTGATTAAATCTTGATACTGCAAGTAAGCAGATAGGAATGAATATCAATAAAAATAGAAGAAATTTTATATATTTTTTGTTCTTCAGAGTAGAAACATGCTTCCGCATATTAACTGCATAAATTACCATATACTATAAAAATAAATATTCAACTAACTTGTAATCTAGAAAGTCCAACAGCTATTTCCTCCATAACAACATTCAGCCATACTTTGGGAATTTTAAAACCTGATCCATCAATTTCAGGTCTTGAGTTTAATCTCAGCTGGGCTCTTGAGTTAATAGGACCTAACACTACACAGGAAATACAGAAACTTGAATTACTTTCTAAATTCCAATAATTGTTAGCAATATCCAATTTTATTCTCAATGCAAATAAAAAAATTAGAATAAATACACACCAAGCTTTCCACCTTAAAACAAAAAGTCATCATTCTTAGAATAAATTGTTAAAGATTAGATTACAGTTTTTGAGAATTACTGTTATAATCTGTTTAAAATAAGTTCTTTCTCCATAATTAAATGATTAATCTTTACTTAATATACTTGCAATTCTAAGATTAGTGATTTCCAAGGCATGTCATAGGAATTTTACAAGTTTTGGTAAAAAAAAATAAACAATAATAATTGTTACTTTCGCTATGTCTTACTTACTGTCTTACTTTAAATTAAATTGTGTGACAATTCTGGGATCTAACAGTTATCCCAGACATCTGGTACCCCTGTTTCAGTAGGGGGGGGGAATCATTTTCCTAATTTTAATTTAAGTAACTGTATGACAGAAAATTTTGATAATAGTGAAAAAANTAATGAAGTGTTATATATATATAGGGGTCTGTCTAGGTTTTTCTGAGAGGTACCTATTTTGAGAAAATTAAAAATTATATTAAAAAAAAACACAAAAATATGGATTTATCGTTTCTCACAGGATACAAAAATAAAATTTTTAAAAAAACTACTGTTTTTCCTAAAGTTGAATTTGTGAAGGTACCGCTAAATGGTAGTAAATTTGGCCTGGACAGATCCCTGATATATATATATTATTTTATTTTTAATGACTGAAATGTTACATGTGTATGAACTAAAATTAGGAAACTATATACATAATAATAGTGAAAAATACATAATAATAGTGAATATATATAAAGAAAAAATAGTGTTTTAAAGGAGACAAGCATTTTTAATCCCAAAAATAACAAAATACTGTTAAAGTTCAAAAAAAAAAATTTGTTTTTTTTTTTTTTGGCAATTTTATAATATTTACATGCAAGGCAAAAGAAATAGCTTAAAATTGATAATCATATAAAATATTAACGCTAATAATATAATATTGGTCAAGGTTTTTTTAAATAAAGATTATGAAACATTAACCACAGAATGAGTAATATTAAGTAGATAATAATTAAATAAAAAGAAAAGAAGTAGAAGTCAAGATTTCTATTTTTGCTTTCTTTTAGAGATATTATCTGATATGTTGATAAGAGAACAGTAACAAATCTGATGAATCAGATATAATAAGATAAGATTAAATTAAGATCTCCAGATAAAAAGAGTGAATGAATAATCAGCTGAAAAGAAAAATATGATTGGGTTGCTTTAGATTTCATAACAGACACAAAAAATGAAAATTTTGGAACTAGTTGGTTATCTTATGAAGTAATTTTAACACAAGAAGCAAGATAATATTCATACTTTCATTTTTCATCTATAGGTTATGAAACTTTGATAAGATTATAATAGAATTTATATAAATGAGTGATAAAGAATGTTGTAACTTAAATGAAAGAATACTCAGAAAAATTTTTATTATTTTATCTTTCCTAATGCAAAAATTAAAAGATTGATGAATCATTTCTTACTATATTTCATGTCATGAGGAATAAATGTTGAAGTAGCAATACTTTTTTCCATTTCATCCTAATATATAAAATATAAATACAATAATTAATTAAACAACTAAAAAAAAATTTAATAAAAGAATGTTTGAAATGAATACTAATATAACTTGCCTGTCTTTTTTCAGCACTACATTTATAAAGTAGCTCAGTTTTACTATTCCAATACACTGACAAACTATCCAGAGTCACTAACTGAAAATTAGAATCAAAGTTTTTTTTAAAAATTATAAGTATAACTGTTGCTAAACCATTTTAAACATATGTTTAAATAATATAATCACTTCAATAAAACCACAAAGCTAATTTTTTTCTTATAAAAAAATGCATAATATGAGCTGTATTTCTGTCCCATAAAACTAAAACTTCATTTCATTTTCGCTCTTATTTTTCCTTGCCAAGTTAAATCTTTTTTTTCTCACTTGAAATGCTCAAAGGGCTTAAATGTTTTAAAATTTCTGAAAATCTTTTTTTTTTTTTTAAACTTATCATGACAACATTTTTTTAAAAAAAAAAAGATGCTTCAAAAGTTTTCAGTCCATTGCAAATAAAAATCAAGAGAAAACTTAAGAAAATTCTTTCTTGTGAAAATTCCTTCCTTCTTAATCACAAAAATTAAAATAATTTTTGTAAAGCTTTATTTAGTACGGTGAGTATGTTTTTTTAAAAACTAATGAATCAATCTTACGAAAAGTTCTCACAATAAAATTGACTAAATATTGCGAAAGAATTCTTTTTTCTTTGAGAGCAATTAATTTTACAAGGAAATATAATGGTCTAAGATGAAGACCTGCGGTTTGATCTCCAGTGGAGGCTTGAAGCTCGCTGAGCTTCAAATCAATGGGTACTACTTTGTCTGGGAAGTAAATACGGCTTACTCCACAGCCACAATCAGGCCATTGGTCATGAAATTGTGAAGCCTTCTTAACCTCCATGATCCCCTGGACCACAATGGGCTGTTGCTGAAACAACTTCTTGAATCCCCTCCTGATTTTTAAATTTTCTAATTTTGTTAGTAAAGCTTCATTTTGTTAGTTTCAAGTTCTAGTTGCAAATCCAATTGTTCAGAATCAAATACCAAACCTAAAGGACGTTCAATGATTTACTCTACTTCTTTCAGTTTTAACAAAATGTCATTTGAATCTATGTATGAATCGTCTTTTTCAGGATAAATAAATACTGAAGATTGATTCACTCTTCTCAAAAATGATAACTCATACTCATCTCAAACAACTCTTTCAAAGCTAGATGAACTTTTCCCTTATTGTTAAATATTTTGTTGTCACTTTCATTGGTCATTTCATCTTAGCTGCATGCATCATCACTGTTATTACATAAATCACAAATTACTAGTTTTCTTTCTGATGTATTTCCCAATAATTCTTTACTATTACTTCTGAACTGAAGCTGATAAATCCCTTTTTAGCCTTTTCTATTCATACATTGTTTTTGTTTTTCCTGAGAAACCTTTTTATTCTTAATATAGCATCTTCAAGAGCCTTTTTTCAAGTTTGTCTGTATAAAACGCAGAATACTTCCAATACTCGATCCTAGAATTCCCTTGTCTTCTGGATTGGGTTGAAAATTTCAAGGCTACAGCGTTGAACATTGGCAGTCGTCAACTCAAAATTGGGTCAGCTGTTCAACGACCGTTATAAAATAAAAAATATGTAGGTAAAAAAAGATTATAAATAAATTTTTGATAAAGTAATAATGCATTTAAAGTAAACCTTAAAATAACTTTTAAACAAATTTATAAGAACTAGTGGACTGCGCCCCCTGCTCGCCAACCTCCGAAAATTGCTACGCAATCTTATAAGGTTTGCTTTGCAAACCAAGCTCGCTTCGCTTGCTACTTGCTTAGGTACATTGCACATGCACAAAATTCTAAGAATTCAAAACAATCATTCAAATCCATATAACAACTTTTTTTTAAAAAAAGAAAATTACATCTTTTTATTAAATACTAAGTCATTAAAATAAATTTGAATTCAAATAAATGGCATGTAATTCGTTAAACCTATTAGAAATGTGCTATAGTACAAAATCTTAAAGTGTAACAGCAAGACTGAGACTCATTTTTCAATGAATAACTAATAACAATAATAAAACAAATAAATTCGTGATATAAATCAAAAATCGTCAAATAAATTCGTGAAAAAAAGTGCTTTCGACAAAATACTAAAATAGGGATCTATCAACAAAGACTACTCACTTCTGCTTAGCTTAATAGTATGAGATTGCCGCAGCTGATAGGGTGAATTTCGGAAGAGTGCTCTCATTTGATGAGAATGCTCTCTCTGGTTATTTCAGTTTCCGTTTTTAAAAGCGCTATATGTTGAGCCCCCTCAGTTAGATTTGGCATGTGACATTTTTAGAGGCAATCATTGGTCGATTTTCTAGCATTGCCATTTGGGGAGTTGTAATGAGGCTTTTTTTTTGTCACCGTGTAAGAGAAATATATATATATATAGATATTATAGTTTTAAGTTTTAAAAAAAAGCTAAATATTATCTAGAGATAAACTAAATTAAACAAATATTTATGAAATAATTACCTTATGTATAATATTAACACTTTCTTGAATTATAGCTGATTCCCATTTATCATCAGTAGTCTCAAATGATAAATTATGAAGAGTAAAGCCCAAACTAAAAGGATTCTGAGGGTCAGAGAAGTCGTCTTCATAGCGTAAGTGAATGTCTTTTATTTTAACTTGCAGATTCTTGATTATTTGAGTTACCAATTTTTCTGTAAATGTATCTTTTTTTTCTTCTTTACCACTGTCTAATCAAATAATCAAAAAGAATAAATTGTAAACTTTTGAAAAAGTAAAATTTGACAAAAATTTCAGTAATGTTCAACAAAGTTAGAAAGTTTAAACTTTGAGAATTAGGTGCAGAATCTCATAAGGAGAGAAACAAAATAATGTGTAAAATTGGGTCTAGGTTTAAAACTGTGCAATTAGCATCGTACATTTAGTGGGCAGTGCAAATATTTGATGACTTCTAAAAATACAGGATGATTGCATTTGGCATTAAAGACATTAATTTTTAATTATACATAAAACTTATTCCATTCAAATAATTAAAAAACTGCAAAAGAAGCATTCAGAAATCAACTTATCGACAAATTTGTTTCATATAGATACATTTATACAGGGTTTACAAATGTTTTGGGTGTTCGATTACCACAGCACCTAAGAGATCATAACTGGTGCCCAATATTTTAGTTATAATTTAACTTTCCAAAATGTAATGTGTTACAGAAATTATGTATTTTTAGATTCCTGTATATGCATGCATGGGTGCAAGAATTTCATTGTAAGCAAATTAGAAAGAATTTCAAAGAAAACTATTATCAATAAGAAAAATGCAAGTAACTAAATAATTCTTAGTTCATGTAACTAAATAGTCAAAAGATTATATCGATAATAAATCACAGAAAACTATAATAGAATCAATCATAAATTATGTACAAAATATAAAGTTACTTTTATCAGAAAGCTTTGATTTCGTTTCTTCCAACTTTTGTAGTTCAGCTTTTTTTGCTGCTTCAGCTGCTTTTGCTTCTTTATCTGCATCATATTTGATACCTGAAAAATAAATATGAAGGAAAAAAATGCATTTATGAGAACTTCCATTTATTTGAAATTTAAATACAAATTTAAACAATTAAGAAATATATTGTAATACAATTTTAATTATAATGTAAATAATAAAACTAAACACACAAATCTAATTTCAAAGAAAAAAATAACTTAAAAAAAAAAAAATGACAAAAAACAGGGATCATAATTTTTTAGAGAAATATTTCAAGAAAGTCAGATAAGAATTAGTTAAACTTTATAAATAAAATAACACAAAACTTGTCCAACTATAGCTGAATTGAGCATTATTTCATAGTAATAAATAATACATGCAAATAAATGATTTTAAATTTATTGAAAAAGGAATATACATCATAGACTTCATAGTGGATCAAAGAAAAATCAAATTTTTTAAAAAAAATCAGGACTTTTTTTCAAATAGTATACAGATACCAGACAACTTTTAAAAAAAGAAAACAGCCAACTAAAAAAATAAGTATAATTTGTTCCAATTAAGAGTACTCAAAGCAAATTTTATCACAAAAGAATAATAAAATATAATATTTTTAATTTCAGAATATACTTCATTTAAACAGAAAGTTTTAACATAGTACATTTTTATCAATACTTAACTCATAACATCAAATCAATACATGGAAAATCTTTATACTACTGTTGCATTACAAAAAATAACCAGCATCAATTCGTTGATATTCCCTCATACCAGTAAATAATTAAAATCAGCAATTGAGTTCAAGATTTTGTTAATTAAGTAAACTGGAATCAATCAATTTTAAAATCAGAAGAAAGAGACAAATCAATAATTGAGAAACTACAAAAGTACGTCCAACATAATTAGTTACTGCATCTGTATAAATACTAAATATGAGTAGGATCCCTGAATTCATCACCCTGAAATCGTTGTTTGATTTCCTTTTTCTTGAATATCTTTATGAAGATAGAATAAACTCGACTCTTTTCTTCCGAAAAAGGTTTAAACAGTGAATCTTGTAAATAAGGTTAGATGTCAGAGTAACTATGTACACAATTAGTAGACAATCTCTAAAAAAATCTGGGTCTATCAAATTTTGCTATTTCTACTATCATAATTAAAATAAAAAGATGTAGGATCAAAAATCCAAATTTTTGAGTCTTTTCTTATTACATTCTATAATCTACTTTTTTTTAAAAGAAAAAAAATCTCACTTGTTTTTTTCAGAAAATGGGAAGTCTTAAACTCAATATATAATAAATATTAAATTCAATATTAAATTCAAAATATTAAATTCAAAAACTAGTTTTTCACTTTCTAAATTTTCAAAAAAAAAAATTTGTTTTTGAATGTAAGAAAATGATAGAATTATCATACTTTGTTCAAAATAATACATTCTAATATCTTTTGCTTTAAAGTAGCATTTTAAAAAAATTAATAAATTATGTTAAAATATTTTTCGGATAATGAAACATTTAAAAAATTAGATTATAAGTTGTGTAAAATTTGATGCTAATTTTTCCATCCTTAAAAAAATGAAAAATGTGAGTACAAAGTACTCTAAGATATAAACAGTGAGCTACAAAATATATTTTATTTACCAGTATTAGGAACAACAACGATAAAAAGACCTTCAATAGTAGCTACAGTTGGAGAAGTGTAAAGATTTTTGTAAGGTATTTTCAAAACCAGACGACCTACAAAAAAATATAATGGAAAATTAATTTTTTAATAATAAAATATAATTAAAAATATTTTTAATTATAATTACTAAAAAGTACAATAGAGAAAGACAACCTAAAAAGAATATAAAATGTAATATTACCTAAATGCCCTGATACAACCTTAATAGGTAAATCCAAGTCATCTAAAGCGCTTTCTTTTACGTCTAAATGTTTCAATGTTACATCTCCTGTGAATAATATATATATACATTTCATATCGATAATTATTAAAAAAAAATTATTTTAATTAAGATAAAAATAAAAAATTGAATGCATATTTTTGAAAAGTAAATAATATTTCAATAGCAAGACATACAAGCTATTCCATTCAATAGATATACAAAAAATAATAATTAATTCGAAGAGTTTAAATAAAAAATTGAGATTCAGTACATTTTTAAATAAACAATAAATAGTTCAACAATACTTTTTGATTGTATAAAGAGAACTTTTTATTGCTCTTTTATAATTTTATTTCAGCATCAACACTCCAATTATCATAAATTATAATGTTAATATATTATAATTAATAAAACTGAATATGATTATTACAATAAAGAATATATGTACTGGGCCATCCCATTCTAGTATTTCTTTTTTTAAATAAATAAAAAATCGCACAAAACATAAAATTTATTTCTATTAAAAGTTAGATTAAAAAAATAATAAATATTCCTTTTCTGTTAATATTAAACATTCAACTGTGTTCATAACAGGGGTCTATCTAGGTTTTTCTGAGAGGTACATATTTTGTGAAAATTTAGACATAATTTGTGAAAAATTAAATTATATTAAAAAATTAACAAAAAAATATGGATTTATCGTTTCTTAAGGGATACAAAAATAACATTTTTAAAAAAAGTACTTTGTGAAACTACCGTTTTTCCTAAAGTTGAATTTTTGAAGGTACCGATAAACTGTAGTAAATTCGGCCTGGACAGACCCCTGAATAAGTTAATATTAAAACAAAGAATTCGTAAAATTCAAGTTCGTGTTTGAAATCGGGTAATTTTTTACCACATCTTAAAGTTTGCTAGCAAAATTTTTAGGAATGATTAAAATTTTGTCATATAAACATACAACATAAACAATACTGCACATCTTGGTGTATAAATCAACTCTCAACGAGATAACGAATTTCTGGTATATCAGGTATTTAAGTTGATCGCTGAAAAAACAATATATAAAAATTTCTAAAATTAAAAACATACCTAACAAGTAGCAAAATAAGAATTCAAATGTTATTGTAAAATTGTTTAAAAAGTGTGAAATTTCAAATTTTTTAAATAAAAGTTAAAGACTATTTTTTCTGAATTTTTTTTTTTTTGTGGGACTTAGCAGATGAGGATGAAGTAGAATCATTCGCAGAATAAGATCCCTAAAATAACACATTATTAAATTCGACACAATTGATGTTCCGAAATCCTTAAATTTGTAGCTTTGTGGCACATTTAATAATTTTTTATTATGTTTGTTATAGTTGTTCAAATACTCTTGAATAAATTGTTCTAACTTTATTTATTCTTAATTCTTTTTTTCAGAACGTAATTTGAAGCATTGTTTTCTTAATAAATCTTTATTTAAAAAGAAAATATTATGTGAGAAACTATAAAATTAATTGTATATATCATATTCAAAATAGTTATTGAAAGGAGTAAATTGATACAGAGTTATTTATATACATCTTATTGTTTACAATTGATCAATATTTCATGATCAACGAATGTCCGACTTTATTTCCGGTGTATAAGTCGATCCCTTGATTTACGTAAAATTTGAGAAGTTTGAAAAGTCGACTTATACATAGCGATATACGATAATTACGAAGCACCAAACATTAATTATTGTTGCAAAACTTAAATATGTGGAAAAAATGTATGGGAAACATGTTCTAATAATAAATATATTTTAAATAAAGTATCGAAACTATATGGTTAATAAAAAATTATAGCGGGACAATATAAAATAACTTTAAACAATAATAAAATAAATACTCAACTAAGAGTAGTTTAAAAGGATCAAAAAGCCGGGAATTAATAAGTAGATTTAGACGTAAATTTAATTTTAAAAAATAACATAAATCAAAAATAAGGCCAATATCAAAGTAATTTCATACATCTTAATACAAGAAAAGGATTATTTAATTTCTCTATCACATTATATTGTTTTCCAAATGCGATATTTTGGTCTGCATTGCAGAGAACCAATTTTTAGGTCCAGTTCGCCTGCACTCGGCAAAATGACAGCTGTTCTGTATCAGGTGACATTTTGTTAAGTTTCTCAAAACTTTTTAGAAACTTACCTCCCCATATTCCTAATTTCAGCTGGGAACTGTCAAAATTTTGAACATAATCACCTAAAAACTTATTTAAAAGACTAGCAACTACAGATTCAAAAACCATAATCAGAAATTATGGGCGTATAGAAAAGAACTTTTGAAACCCAAAACACAGCTTAAACTTATGAATAATCTTCACTGGTAGTTCACACTTGCAAGTTCTTAAAATATTTGCTATTAACATTCATTTTGATAGATAAATCTTCAATGATTACGATGTAATTCGATCGGAGAACTTAACAACCGCATGTATACATCTGAAAAACAAAACAAAAATTTTGGGTCACGTGCCAAAACAAATCATGAGAATGCAATGGTGGAAAAAACCTACGATGGCCGAGTCTTACAGATCACCTATTTTCCCCTGCGGAAGAGATCCTGCGTCATCTTGAAACTCTTTATTACGAATAGTGAACGGCAAAAAATTCAATTGCTTACAATTGCAATTTTTATTCTTAAACATCTGTAAATTACTTAGAAATAATTATCTGCAAACTCACAAGTCCCGCAGTGAACTGATCGTAAAGACACGGTCCCCAGTAGAACAACGAAGTTAAGCATCACTAGCTGCGATCAATTAGCAAGTTGGTGTCTACTTTGATGAGCCTGCGTTGGGACAGAGGGTGCGCGATATTAGTCCCTTTAAGCTGCTCCACCGTAAAGTGCTCGACTTCGCGCAGGTCATCAGGCCTCTAAAGTAGGGAAGTCATCCCCTCTGCAGAGGATCGAAATTGCAATGGCATGTCTTCGGACCATCCTCAGGGAAGTTTCCCAGACCAAGTTGCCAATAGCCCGTTATGCAGCTCTAGTATGACGTAGATAATATAAGTACCTTCCTGCAAACTTACAGCTGCGTAATGTGCAGCAAAAGATCTCAACTTCTGTAATGATGCACGAGGATACATCTACGATCTGAAAAATTAAAGCAATCTTCGATCGATACAAGCCTGAAAAAAGTTTAGTTTTTCGAAATTACTGAAATCGAAAAATGTAGTCAACGTGGAACTTCGAAGCAAATACTACGTAAAGGCATAGGTCAAGAAAGAGCCTCCAAGTGATGAGACTGTTCATTATTTTTATCTCTCCCATTTGCTTGACACTTTTTTTTTCTTTTTTTTTTTGAGCGAGTCACAAAGTTTGCGTTTGCTTTTTATTCATCCAAATATCAGTTTGACCACCTATCATTTTAGTGAGCTACAGAGCACATGTGCATCTAGGGGAAACAGAATGCCTGTGGCAAATCTTGAATCGGCGACCCTTAAAAAAATTTCTATTTAATATTTTTTAAGATGCAAAATAAATGCTTTATTTGAAAAATTTAATCCTCTTGGCCAATTTTATTAGTCATGACTTATGGATGGTGTTTTCTACAACAGGGAACGCTGCAAGCTCGGGGCTGCTTAAATTTCCGGGTTACTGTTTCAGTTGTATTTTAAAGCCATTTGGCATCTTTGTGTTTTGAGATTCTTGAAAACAATGTATTTGATTTCTTATTACTTATGTTTACAATGCTAACAATTTACAATACTAAAAGTGTTAACACTAACGTAAGATGGCGCACAGCTTGCAACACGAACAAACAGTAATAAACAAATGGAAAGAGGCCAAATCAAGACTGCCAAAAAAGCGAGTTATTCAAAATCGAGTCACAACCATGTCACCTTTTTTAATAATAAATAACAAAATAACTAAAACAAATTTTCACTCCAAACTCCCCAGAATTACATAATAACATTAATATCTTATGAAATACGGCAGATTTGAGCTCAGAAATTATCTAATTTATTTCTTTTATTGAGAACAAAATTATCCGTTTGAAAACCTCGCCTATCAGAATAACATGTAATAAGCAGCTGCAAACTTTTTAACCGGAACAAAAGTAGGTGCCGAGCTCGAGATTGTTATTGTTTACATTTCTATTGAAAACACCATCCATACGTCTTTAAAGTCGTCGGTGATTTGAAATTTTAAATCATTACAAAATACTTACGTCCTACACTATAATATCAGATGAAACAGAAGTAAAGATAACTGATTTAATGAAGCACAGCACAGAAGTTTTTAAAAGATGATATTAGAAAAATGTTGATCTGAGTTTTCTTTTAAAAAAAGACACAATTTAGAAATAACTGTCACTCATTTTTAGAAATTAAACTGAAGGAAGGTGTTATTTGAAATAGTAATAATTTTTAGCTAACAGCAAAATAATAAAAAATTTAGCAGCTTTTGACCTTACGCATTCAGATCAAGTCAATAAAATTCTCGCGACATTACAAGTTAATTAAAGATCTCACTACAAATAATTACAACCGATTATGGCAATTGCTAATAAAAGTATAACAATTAAATTGCCTATTTTGATTGATTTGTTGTTGAAAGAAATTATTATTGAAAAACTGCTGTAAGTGAATGTTGTTGAAACATTAATAGTGATATTTATATCGAACTTTCTTTACATTCTAAAAATTTTCAGGTTTTCCTGCTTTAAAAAATTAGTTTCGACATCTTATTGAACTGTAAATTAGAGAGTAGCAGAATTTTTTTTTAAAAGTGCAATTAATCTCTTTAACGAAAAAGTACAATTATCTATTATAATAGTGCAACAGAGAATAGATAAATGTAGTTTGGTTAATAATGTAGGGCAGATATTTTAGGAAATGAAAAAAACAATTATGAATTTAATTAAATATTGCAGAAAGTTAACTTAATTTGTAAATACATTAAAAAACAATTCAAAGGTGAGTGTTAAACTTTTGGAAGTGCTTTTGATTATCTCTGTACAGAAAAAACTGCCGTAATCACCTCTGTTTCAGAGAATTATCACCATATTCCTCACTAAAAAAAAAAAAAAAAAAAAAAAAACTGTTAGATGAAACTATATGAGATTTTCCACATTTCTGTAAAAATGATATAAAATATTCAGGTATAAAAATGTTATTATTATACCTGAAATAAAGAAGATGCATATATAATATATATATATGCATCTTCTTTAAATTTCTAACCTAAGGGTTGATGAGTAATAAAAGGCAGTGGGCGTAGCCCTTAACATTATTATAAAAAATACCAAGGTATGAAAATTGGGGCATTAAATAAATTTAAAGAGAACAGAACCCTCTTTTGATTATAAAAGAAATCATAATGAACTTTCCAGTGATAAAAATTACTTATCCATTAAATTGGTGGTAATACCTCTTAAAAATTTTTTTCGATACTACGAACGAAAATGAAAGATGAAGATTAATTTAAGCGAATTATCATAAGTAGATTTATAGCAATCGCTTTCATTTATTTATTGAATAGAAAAATTATGCAAAAAGTCGCGTTTTCCAATACCTGTATCTATTTTATTATTCACTTTTTATATTCAACAAAGCTCAGTAAATGTTATATTTATAATTACCATTTTTATTTTTTTAACTATTTTTTTAACTTTTAGCCACAGTATTACTATATTTAACCATTGTATAATTATTCACTTTAAAATACTTTTCCCGGAGTATTGTATTTCTATCAAGATTTGGCGTTTACCAATCATTTGTTATACGATTCGTCGTATAGTAAAAAATTATGCCTTCATTTCAGCAGCGAATTAGTTTTTTTTTTTTTTTTTTTTTTTTTTTNTTTTTTTTTTACGTTTACACATCAATTGGTTAGTTAAATTTGTTTTTTGACTGCAACAAAAGCAAAGCATGCCCGCTACAGCCCATTGGGGGCCAGGGGGTTCATGGAGCTTCACACTTTCGTGAATAACGGCTTGATTGTGATAATGCGACATTGCACACAGGTTGCCATTAATTATAAGATAAGCTGGTATCCATCGATCTGGATCTGTGTGGATTTTAAGCAGCCACTGGGGATTGAACTTCACTTCCTCACCACTGTTCAGTGCCTTAACCACTTACCAACTGCGGCACATTGATTAAAATAATTTCGTATAAAATTATTATACCAGTAATATATAGGTGGAAGAAATTAACAAGCTGTGAAAATATTAGCAATCAAATATTTTATTTTTATTTTGATTATTATTTTTTTTAAGTGAAGCAAATGAATTGCATACTCATTTATGATTCGGTCAATTTAGGAATTTCCTCAGGCAAAGTGGGAATTTTTTCTTTCCAGAAATGTAAGTTCATGGTGCTCCTGTTCCTGTTAAGGATAAAATTATAATGAAATAGATGGAAAAAAAAATGTTATCATAAGATGGCGAATGTATCTAAGACTTTATAACTGTAAGATAAGAGAAACCATTCCGTATATCCTGTTGTTAAATTAAGATATAAGCCTCAGCAGTTCCAATTTTTATTTCAATTTTAACGCTGTTATCTTTTAGTTTCGGAAGCATGTGACGTCATAGGCTGCTGAAAATGATTTCTGTACCCATTTTATTCTCTATTGTTCTTATTTCTTGTAATAAAACAGCATTTATTTTCGGAAATTTAATGAGCATTTCATTTTATTTATAGAAATGTGTTGTTAAAATCTGATTACAAAACTTCAAATTCTAAGTTTCTAAATATATTTTAGAATTGTTTTCAAACATATTAACTTTGGAAAAAAAATTATTTTAATACGTAGTTAAAGTCTGATAGTTTAAAATTAGCAAAAAAAAAGTTCAATGGTTCATTACAATGAGTAAAATGGATTTAAAAATATTCAAAAATATATATTAGTTTACTAAATCAATAAGAAAGTTGTGCTTGAGATTGCATAGGACAGCGAATCCCTTTTTATAGCAAAAATAAAATTAAAAATAATATATAATAAATTAGCGCATTTATTCATAATTATTTTACAAATATGTTTTCAAGTGAAAATTTATGTGACTCAGGAATAAATGTTATAAATGAATCTGCTTAAAATTAATATTTTTTTATCTCAACAATTCAAACTGCACATTTATAAATGTTATATGTAACCATTTTTTAAAAGATATTTTTTTGAGAAAGATTATAAGTTACCATTTAATACTCGTATATTAAAATATAAACTAACGTTAGGTCTCCAACTCATGTAAAATTCCTTCTTCTGAGTTTAATGTTATGTATTTTTTTAAAAAGGAAATGTTCAAATAATTTAACCCAGTATTTTAGTGCCATATAAAGAAGAATGATATAATAGAGCATGAGTTTTTTTTAATATTTTTTTTAAATAATTCTATTATTCTATGATTACTTCCATTCAATGTAAGTTTCGATAACAAATGGCCTCTTAGCCAGATCTGACACAAAAGAAATAAACGAATGGTTCCTATTTAATCTACTAGATGGCAGTATCAAGAAGAGAATT